TACAAAAAGCTTAAGTTATGTGTCCTCAAAAGAAGATATGGCCCTGAATCACTTCACTATTTAGATGATTTGACGATACAAAACGTCCAGGATTAAAGTCAAGCACCTGCAGCTTTTGATTTTTTATGTAAAGGAACAAAAAGCGTTTGATTGAAATCCGCATGGGACCTTCGGCTTGTTGAATTCATTAAGCTTCAAAAGGCTTTAGGGGTCATAGAGGTCAACAAATATTATACAAATTTAAATATGATTAAATTAGAAAACTGATTTATCCTCTGCTTCTCTAAAGGAATGAACAACCAAATAGAAATGCATGAATGACCCGGGTATTTAAAATAAAATCCAATTAGAAATCTTCCTTCACAAAATCTGAGGTGCTGTGACCGCCCTTGGTTTTTACAAACGCGTGAATACAAATAATTTATCTTGTAGTTTCAGAAATCCTTGGACAGGCCCACTGTGAGTTCAGGTCTTTATAAAGTATTGCACAGATGTTCCCAATTAATTCAATTTAGAGGAATGCGTGAGTGAAATGTCTTATACAAAAGTTTAAAGCCTCATACCACTACTTTAATCTTTGAAAATAAAACTGTTGAGCTATATTTGAAAACATGAATTCAGTCTCTTTAGTGAATGAATGACCCCTTTAAACTTTATTTTACTTATTTTAAATGGTGAAAGTTGTCATTGAAGTGACAAAAAGTCTTCACAAACTCTGCAGCTCGACTCAACTTCTCTTAATAAAAGGCGTCTGTATATAACATTCAACATATCCAATCCAATCCAACTTTATTTCTAAAAACAACAGAAGGGCTGCACATAAATAAATATATATAAAAACACAAAAAACAAACAGATAGGACATAAACCAAATGTTTTAGATGCCCGAGTGACTCACTACACTCTTCCATACAGTAAGTGGGTCTAGATGCCCGAGTGACTCACTACACTCTTCCATAAGTAGGTCTAAAAGGACCCGTATTAGAATAATATGTGTTTTTATGCCATTTTTGTCATTTTGGTTAAGAAAGATCACTTGTATAATATTTAGTATTATATTTTGGTTCACACTAGAAATATTTTATATTTAATTTTTCACAATTTATAATTTTAGACATTTCTTTTACATTTTGAAAAAAACGTTTTGAACATATTGTCCCAAAGATCTCCGCTCTTCTGAGACCCTCACAGTATTCCAGTCCCTTTTCAAAACTCATCTCTTCTCCTCTTGTCTACTCATCATAGCCCACCCCCCATCAATCCATGCCGGTTGATCAAGTTTGATAGTCCTATACCCCCCCACCCTAACCTTCCCTTATATTGTAAAGCGATTTCGAGCCCTTGAAAAGCCCTATAAAAATATAATGTATTATAATTATGATTATACTGACAGGTATCAGATCTTGCTGTGTGAAATAATCTTCCTGAGAGGTGTCACGTGTGATGTAGTCTGTGTGGTCTACAGTGAATGTCTTCCTGACAGGTGATAAGAATCAAAGGTTCCCATAGGATCCCATAGAAAATGCATGCGGGTCAGTTTTGACCCACTTATGGAAGCTTGGAGTAGTAATACAAAAACTACAATTTCTTAAAATGTAAATTTAAAATGTGAATGGCATGATATCCAAAACATGTTTTTTGAGGAATAGCTGGAATATGAAATGATAAAAAAATGTAATTACAAAGATACTTCCAGAAAACCACCTCACCGGGTCCAAAAAGACCCACTTATGCATCTAAGGGTTAAAGCCACAGACTGAACACTTTCATACATGATGTAAAAACGACATAAAACACGAGTAAATAAAACCCCAATTTAAAAGCACAGACTGACATTATAGGTGTTCGGCAAACGCACATATGATTCAGTTTCATCAAACAAGCTCCATTTAATCCTCTGAATCGACACGGTCTTAAAGAGAGGGAATATATTGGACCGAAATTCAACAGATGGACCGAAACAAGTCGAAGAAATGTTCCTCTGTGTCTGATGTTTTAAAAAGGCAGCTGATATTGTACGTTAGTGTAGTTAAGATGTATAACCAACGTCTCCTAGAAAACATGTTTATGTACAAATTTGCAACAGCCAGTATGTTTTTGAATGATTGCATTTTTGGACATGAACATAACGAGAAAACATTGGTATTACATATCTGACACACAGCAAAATGTTGATACTGAATGCAGCTTTAAAACGGATTTGTTTTCCTACTTTATCCTCGCTTAGCAACTGACGTTTTTATTTAAGGCACTCAGCACTTGGTTAAAGGGTCAGGAAAAAACAAAACAACATCAAGTCAACATTGATTCAAAGCACGAAAAACAACATGTTTATTTTAATAACTGCAGTCTTTTCTCCAACTCTCTGATAACGTGGAAAGACGTAGAACAAGTAAACAATTATAAAAAGGAGAGTCTGAAAATCAGCAATAACTACGATATTTTGGCAAAACAAGTAAATAAGTGTGTTTGTAATTTCCTTTTAACAGTTAATGCATCTTCAAATGTTCGCCATCTCTTAAAGGTGGGGTAGGTAATTCACTTCAGAAACACTTTTTGTTATATTCCATGGAATGCTCTTAACATCCCGATAGCAATGAATATATTAAATGCTTTGACAATAAATACATATAAAAATGTCATCTGTGGAAGCCGTAATACTGTAAAAAGCTCAACCAATCATCTGAGCCGGCCCGGCTAACATAACTGGATGGCCTACCTGCCTGTCAGCCTTCCATCTGTGCACAAACTTATCTGGTGCCCTCATTGGTCATGTGCGCGTTCGTGTGTGTTGGAGGAGGGGCTCTGTAAGGAAGTCTGAAGGAAGGGGCAGATTCTTTCCGGTTGTGTACTTTCAAATTCTAGCGCACTCGAGCTGGTTTCTCCATTCTTACCTACCCTACCTTTAATACATGTTGAATGTGTAAAAACAAACGTACTTTTTTAGTATTTATATATATAATTTAAACCAACACCAACCACTTCCAGCTTTTTAAAACTGCTTGTTAGACTATTAGTCACAGTAGACTATATTATATGATATTAAGACACAGAGCTGCATATATTGGGTAAATAAGACCACAAATAAACACTTTTGGAAAGTTTTTGCATTCTGATATCCAAAATCAAGTCCTCTACAAGTATAATGTATGCTAATATGCGTCATTTTAACAACACTGAATCAAACACCTGAATGATTTGATCAAAGCAAGATAAAATACTAACTATTAGTCTCACGGTTTTGTTATTCCATAATCCCTGGACACATTGCTTGAGAAACATGCTATTTAACTTATATTTTAATGCACATTTTTACTCTTTTTATTAACCAGATATTGCAACTATCATCTACGAACAGAGTCAGAGAAAAGCGTGGTAATATATCCAAATGCACCGCAGTAAATGACTGCAGCACAGGCATTCTTTCTAGAAAAAATACGTCATAGCGTATGTGTCCTCAATAGAAGCTACGGCTCTGAATTAAGTCAATAATTAGTTTATTTCACAAGTTAAAACCTCCATTAAGCTTCTTAACACTCACATCTAATGTAATATACGTTTAAATGTCGCCCATGAGGGTTATCATAGGTCTTGATAATATGTTAATGTATTTTAATGTTCACTATGTTTGTATACGTACATGAATATGGAACTGCAGGAGAGTCCAGAACAAATGTCCTTACGGCGACAATGAAGAATATGGAATCGTATTTATGCCACAAAAAAAGATTTTTACAATATAGAACATTTAATATTATCATCTGATGTTGAAATTGTCTTTTGAAATGGAGAAATAAAGCAGATATTAAAAGAAAACTGTCTCCTGCACACACTGCATCTTCTCTCTATGATCCAGAAGTATGTCCGCTAAAATAGGCTCTGATTAGTCGGATAAAAGAAAGGAAACTATGTTAAAAAAAGAAAAGAAAGCTGAAGGCTCTCATCATCGCCATGGCTACCTGCCACACTCGGCTTTAATTACTGCGTAATTACGGCTTTTAACTTTTTCACGTCTCTGCGACAGGTTATTCTGCTGCAGACTGAGAGTGACCTTAACTCCTGAACAGACCTCTAAACGTAACAGCGTGTCACGTCTGTGTTTTAAAACAAAATAAACCTCCAACCTTCTTATAGAGGTTTTAGTAAACATCTGTACAGGAAAACAACAAACAGTTCACTGAGGTGTTCTGGTTGATTCTGTGCATGAGGAAGCTCCGTATTTAAAATCAAGTTCATTTAACTCATTTATTTAGCCATTTTTATTGGTCAATTTCTACATACTGATATACACCTGAACATCAGCAGGAGAGGACTCTTTAAAGTAGAGACACTACATACTGATATAAACCTGAACATCAGCAGGAGAGGACTCTTTAAAGTAGAGACACTACATACTGATATTCACCTGAACATCAGCAGGAGAGGACTCTTTAAAGTAGAGACACTACATACTGATATACACCTGAACATCAGCAGGAGAGGACTCTTTAAAGTAGAGACACTACATACTGATATACACCTGAACATCAGCAGGAGAGGACTCTTTAAAGTAGAGACACTACAGCAGGAAGTATAGTAAATGAATGGTTATCTTTACATGGCTGATTATGTGTTAGTATGAATAACATCATTATGAAATCTGCCATTGTGATGAAGTCCAGGATAATTTGTTGATGGAGTGTTGACAGGTTCTTAGAGATAAATGGGTTCAATGTTTTAAACTGATGCCATATACTTGACAGATATTTGAGTTTGGTTTGTGAAACCTTCCCACTATGGGAGCATACTTCACCTCTTTAACAACATCTTAGTTAATAATGTAACTCACCCACTATAACCTTTATTCCAGCAATAAATCCGCACTTTAGACTGAGACACTCCCTGAGTTACATGAGAGGAGACAGAGTTCAGCAGAGGAGGCGTGACAGAGCTCCTCCCTCACTGACTCACTGAGATAAACCAGGAAACAGTTTGTTATTCTCCCTCACTGCAGAGAGAGAGACGGACTGAAAAACAGACGATCACATTCACCTTCAGACCAAACTAACAACTTCGGCTGAGTTCAGCTACAGGAGAGAAAAGTGGAAACTACAACCCTGCTGCTTCAACCTGCTGACCCTCCCCCCCTGAAGGTGAGTCTCCAAACATCACTCAAGAGAATTTCAGTGAAGTCAGTAGAGGAGGGGGAGGGGAGCCATGACTGACTGTACTTCCTGTCTGCTGTGTTTCAGCTTCACTCAGAGACAACATGGCGTCCAAGTTAGAGCAAGATCTCTGCTGTCCGGTCTGTCAGGAAGTCTTTAGAGATGCTGTCATTCTGTCCTGCTGCCACAGCTTCTGTAAAGCCTGTCTGCAGACCTGGTGGGATGGGAAAGAAGTAAAAGAGTGTCCAGTTTGTAAGAGAAGATCCTCAAAAGATCCACCTTATAACTTTGCTTTAAAGAACCTGTGTGAGACCTTCTTACAGGAGAGAGATCAGAGATCTCCAGAGGCTCTCTGCAGTCTGCACTCTGAGAAACTCAGACTCTTCTGTCTGGACCATCAGCAGCCAGTGTGTGTCGTCTGCAGAGATTCAAAAACACACACCAACCACAGATTCAGACCCATCGATGAAGCTGCTCAGGATCTCAGAGAGGAGCTCCAGAAGTCTCTGCAGCCCTTTCAGGAGAAACTGAAGCTCTTTGAAGAAGTTAAAGTGGAGTTTGATCAAACAGCAGGACACATGAAGGTCCAGGCTCAACACACAGAGACGCAGATCAAGGAGCAGTTTAAGAAGCTTCACCAGTTTCTAGAAGAGGAAGAGGAGGCCAGGATGGCTGCACTGAGGGAGGAAGATGAGCAGAAGAGGAAGATGATGGAGGAGAAGATGGAGGCTGTGAGCAGAGAGATAGCAGCTCTTTCACACACAGTCAGAGCCACAGAGGAGGAGCTGAGAGCTGAAGACGTCTCCTTCCTGCACAACTACAAGGCTGCAGTGGAGAGGCTGCAGCGCCCCCTGCTGGAGGATCCACAGCTGCCCTCAGGAGCTCTGATAGACCAGGCCAAACACCTGGGCAACCTCAGCTTCAACATCTGGAGCAAGATGAAGGACATGGTGTCCTACTCTCCTCTCATCCTGGACCCAAACACTGCTCGTCCAAACCTCATCCTGTCTGAAGATCTGACCAGAGTGAGACCAGGAGGAGAGAGACAGAAACTTCCTGATAATCCAGAGAGGTTTGATAAACACCCCTCTGTCCTGGGCTCTGAGGGCTTTAACTCAGGGACTCACAGCTGGGATGTCCAGGTTACAGACAGTACATTCTGGGTACTGGGTGTGTCAGCAGAGTCTGCCCAGAGGAAGGGATTCACACAGTCTGGATTATGGGGAATATGTTTCTATGAAGGTGAATACGCAGCATGTTCACCATCAGCTCCATCCACTCCTCTCAGCCTGAAGAAGAAGCTCCAGAGGCTCAGAGTGGATCTGGACTGGAACAGAGGAAAGTTGTCGTTCTCTGACCCTGACACTAACACACACATACACACCTTCACACACACTTTCACTGAGAAGATGTTTCCATACATCAGCACTCTGGGGGAAGTGAAGATATTACCACTGAAGGTGTGTGTGACAGTGGATCAGAGCAGGTAGAGATACACAGGATCATTATATCTGTGGTGATCATCTCTTAAAGGGATCATTCACTGACCTCTGAACCTGTCCTCCTGCTGTCTCTTTATTCTAAACATGTTTTTATTCTTGTTGTTATTGAGTTTGATAATCTGCTTTTTGATCATACAGTCAACCTTTATTAAATTGAAACACGTGCATTTAGCTGACACTTTTATCCAAGTAACATCATGTTCATCAAATACGCTGAACTGCTTCCTTTAGAGGAAATAAGAGATATATATTCTTTACATTTGAAATGATCTCACCCAGATTCAGATCTTTATGTCAGGTTATAGTTTAACCTTCTCTGTTTTATTGAAACTATGTCGTTATAAATTGTTCATTTGTGATTTGTGCTTGATGGGAAAATAAATAAAAAATATGTTTAATCCAACTGCAAGTTTGAGCAGCGAATCATTTATTAGATACAAAATAAAATGCATTTTAATTAAACGATGTGTTGGCTTGTGTAACCATTAGCCAATCAGCAACCAAGGTAACCCCCCCCCCCCCCACCTTATCACCTGAATCTCCTCCTAGAACACCATTGTGTTCTTTTTAACCAAATCTCTCTCAGAGGGGCGTGGGGAGGGGCTCCTTATTTTCATCTAAAGTAACAGACAGAGAATCAGCACTTTGGAAACAGGGCTGAAACAGAGGGGATTATGGGATGCTGCAATGATCTGTTTGGTGTTTCAGCCAATCAGAGACAGGTTCTGTATATATCTGAGACCTATAATATATTGATGAAAAACAGTATAATAGGAGACCTTTAAAGTAACCCTCCCAACCGTGAGCAATAGTGACTTTTTGTCAAATGACAGGGTTGGAGATGGACTTGGACAGAAGGTGTTTGATCATAAAGGTTGAGGTTCACGCACTGAACGTATTTATTTCCTCCCATCTGGCCCTGAATGCCTCCATGATGGGAGTTCAGTGAGTCAGCAGCAGATGAACGTCAGCAAAAAACAAACAAAAACGCCTCACAAAGAGAGACATTCCTACATGGAGCAGTACGAGGCACGCCAGGAAATGACATGTTTTGCTTCGGCCTGCACGGAGCGGAGAAGCTGTCATGAGAGTCTGAAAAGTCTGAAACACCTGCTGTAACATTTAACTGAAAACACAACAGTTATATTACCGAAAGGCCTCTGGGGATCTTTATAAAGGCCCTTTTAACATCAGGGGTGAGCCATTAGAGGCACAAAAACGTTAAACTTATCTTACAAACTCAATCGACTATAAATAATGTGAAAAGATGTATCAGTATTTTATGATTTCCTGTATCTTTTAAAGGTTTTTGACGTTGCTTGATAACTGGACTCCACCACTTCTCCCTTTAAAACCTGTTCTGTATATATTGTCTTCACACTGTACATTTATATTTAATTAAGCATGCTATTTCTTGCACAATTAATGTAAATAATATCCCACTTTTAAATGTTGCTAGCAGTAATTTGTCCCTTCATAGTGTATACTTGACAGATATATATATCTTTCACTGTCAAGATGTATCTTACTTTTGAGTTTAGTTCAATTTTGAGATATTTATATTTAATGTATGTGTGAGTTTATTTTCTACAATTGTTTTGATTTCCACATTATGTCCAATGCCTTGTTTATATGCTGCTGTGACGAAAATTAGGATAAATAAAGTAAATCTCATCTTAACTAGTACTTGTAACAGAATACATTTTAAAGTAACCCTCCCAGCCCTGTCTAAGCTGAACAAATGTATTTACATATACATTTAATAGATTTTATTATTATTCACCTTTTTGTTTTATGTGCTTTTATTTAAAACATTCTTTGAGACTTCTTCTTCTGGTTCAAATTTCAATACATTTAATTTTTGTAATCACTCTTTTGTCTTTATTCTACATGAAAATGTTAGAGATTCCATTAAAATCTGTTGATTATTCAGATCTTCCTCAGAATCAGTATGTCACATTTTTAATGCTAAATGTATATCATTTTCTCACAGGATATAGAATGAGACAACACAGTTTGTATCCATTGTGTATGAATGCTTCAGCTCTTCAGACCAACATAGTAAGATGTGAGCATGTTCCTAATTGTGTTGGTATGCAGCCTAGGTCTGGTCTGTTTAATAAAGCAAATCTGCCACTTTTATATTGTAGAATTTGTTCAATTAAAGCAGTCTTTAATTGTTTGTCCTAAACATAGCAATATATGCTTTTGAAATGTAACATGTCTTTGAAAAAATAATAGTATACAGTTTATATTGTGTATCACCTTTAGCTTGAAAATACATAGATGTGTTTTTTTAATCTATAAAATAAATAAATAGACAGACAGACACTTTATCAATCCCAAATTCATTAGCAGGAGAGGACTCTTTAAAGTAGAGACACTACATACTGATATACACCTGAACATCAGCAGGAGAGGACTCTTTAAAGTAGAGACACTACATACTGATATACACCTGAACATCAGCAGGAGAGGACTCTTTAAAGTAGAGACACTACATACTGATATACACCTGAACATCAGCAGGAGAGGACTCTTTAAAGTAGAGACACTACATACTGATATACACCTGAACATCAGCAGGAGAGGACTCTTTAAAGTAGAGACACTACATACTGATATACACCTGAACATCAGCAGGAGAGAACTCTTTAAAGTAGAGACACTACATACTGATATACACCTGAACATCAGCAGGAGAGGACTCTTTAAAGTAGAGACACTACATACTGATATACACCTGAACATCAGCAGGAGAGGACTCTTTAAAGTAGAGACACTACATACTGATATACACCTGAACATCAGCAGGAGAGGACTCTTTAAAGTAGAGACACTACATACTGATATACACCTGAACATCAGCAGGAGAGGACTCTTTAAAGTAGAGACACTACATACTGATATACACCTGAACATCAGCAGGAGAGGACTCTTTAAAGTAGAGACACTACATACTGATATACACCTGAACATCAGCAGGAGAGGACTCTTTAAAGTAGAGACACTACATACTGATATACACCTGAACATCAGCAGGAGAGAACTCTTTAAAGTAGAGACACTACATACTGATATACACCTGAACATCAGCAGGAGAGGACTCTTTAAAGTAGAGACACTACATACTGATATACACCTGAACATCAGCAGGAGAGGACTCTTTAAAGTAGAGACACTACATACTGATATACACCTGAACATCAGCAGGAGAGGACTCTTTAAAGTAGAGACACTAAATACTGATATGAACCTGAACATCAGCAGGAGAGGACTCTTTAAAGTAGAGACACTACATACTGATATACACCTGAACATCAGCAGGAGAGGACTCTTTAAAGTAGAGACACTACATACTGATATACACCTGAACATCAGCAGGAGAGGACTCTTTAAAGTAGAGACACTACATACTGATATACACCTGAACATCAGCAGGAGAGGACTCTTTAAAGTAGAGACACTACATACTGATATACACCTGAGCATCAGCAGGAGAGGACTCTTTAAAGTAGAGACACTACATACTGATATACACCTGAACATCAGCAGGAGAGGACTCTTTAAAGTAGAGACACTACATACTGATATACACCTGAACATCAGCAGGAGAGGACTCTTTAAAGTAGAGACACTACATACTGATATACACCTGAGCATCAGCAGGAGAGGACTCTTTAAAGTAGAGACACTACATACTGATATACACCTGAACATCAGCAGGAGAGGACTCTTTAAAGTAGAGACACTACATACTGATATACACCTGAACATCAGCAGGAGAGGACTCTTTAAAGTAGAGACACTACATACTGATATACACCTGAACATCAGCAGGAGAGGACTCTGAGGGATACAGCGTTGAAAGGTGCCAGCTCTGCCACTAAGCTATAGACTGCCTTTTATTATTATTATTATTTTCAATTATTCTCCAGTTGCATTGTCATGGAGCAAAACTAGAAATACCCCCATGCGATATTATGCTTCCAGCAACCAATAAAGATGCAGTTTACATCCATGTCTGTGCAAAATGTCATCATTTCATGTTTTTATCCTGTTAGACTGTGCGTGAAATTGTGAAGAAATGCCCTGCAGGTGTTCCTGAGATATCACGGACAGACGGACGCGGACGGAAAACCCAACAAAATAGAAACTGCAGACACAGTTATTTCCAGGCACAGTTATAACAACAGGGAAACTGTATTTTACGTGATCATGTATTCCACTTGTCTCTGTGAACAGTTCAACTAAAGCACCTGTCTGGATAATGAGCAATGATTATATTTTAAACCAAGAAACCCATTTATTCAAGCTAAAATGAACAGAAACATTTCATTATTAAAATGACGTAAAATGCCCTTTTATTGTCGAAACAAGTGCATAGACAACATTCTTTTTCACTTTTCAATTAACAACATGTGTTTGTTATGACAGCGATTAACGTTGGTGTTGATTATACAGAGACATTAATTAAAAAACATTAGCTTACAGCAGAGAATTTGCTAGTTTCCAGTTAGATTATATATATTTAATTAGAGGCTTTTAGAAATGAAAACCAGCCTGATGGATGTGTTGTGACCCACGGGAGGTTTTATCTTTTATTAGTCACCAAGGATGACTTTAGTCCCTGTGTTTTTTATTGTGTGTCTATTCCTGTTTTGTATGTAGTGCTCAGACAGAAAAAAATGAGAATTGTTGTTTAATTTGACCCTAAAAACAAGGTCAGAATCAACAAAGATACAAGATCGGTTGTCTAACAATAAAACAAAACAGAACAGGGATCTAAATGATAATGAATCCTTCAAAAACAATTGCTTTTAAGTTAAATTCATTTATTTTAAAGCCTAAATCCAGCTGTTGTTGAGTAACTAAACAGAGTGTGTTGTAGCCCCATCAGTGTGTGATTGAAAAACAAACATTTATAATATTTATTAAACAAGTTGATTTGGTTGATTTGCTCAGTTTTTAGCGACTGGCTTTGAATCCAAAGGGTCGCCGGTTCAAGTCCCGATCGGATCAATTACAAAGTCAGTTTCCCCCTGACGTGTCTTTGAGCAAGGCATCAAACTATGACACCTCTCCACTCATGCATGTGTGTGTGGATCCTGTTTGTGCATGTGTGTGTGTGTGTGTGTGTGTGTGTGTGTGTGCGTGCGTGCGTGCGTGCGTGTGTGTGTGTGTGTGTGTGTGTGTGGTGTGTGTGTGTGTGTGTGTGTGTGTGTGTGTGTGTGTGTGTGTTTAAAGCCTATGTGTGTGCGTGTGTGTGTGTGTTTAAAGTCTGTGTGTGTGTGTGTGTGTGTGTGTGTGTGTGTGTGTGTGTGTGTGTGTGTGTGTGTGTGTGCGTGTGATGTAATGTAAATAACACCAGAGTCAACATTTGATTAATAAAGTGTATCTTAATTAGATTGACTTTCTTCAGAACAGTTACAGTATGTTTAGTTTGTAAATTGTGTAATTTTTTTGAATGTTTTAATCTTTATGCATGCTTCTGAGTTAACATTAAGCTGTCTCTGGCTCTTTTCTGCTGTAACACACACACACACACACACACACACACACACACACACACACACACACACACACACACACACACACACACACACACACACACACACACACACACACACACACACACACACACACACACACACACACACACACACACACACACACACACACACACACACATTTTGGAGATTGTTTTGCAGCAGCATGTTTTCAAGGCATCACACATGAATTAACAATACAATTACAAATTAAATAAACATTGAATGTACATACAGTGGAGGAAATAAGTATTTGATCCCTTGCAGATTTTGTAAGTTTGTCCACAATAATACTTATGTCCCTTTAGTTGAATGAAATTAATTTGTATCTTTTATATAATGTCAATTTCTGGATTTTCTTTTTGATATTCTCACTGTTAAAATAAACCTACCATTAAAATGACAGACTGTTCATTTCTTTGTAAGTGGGCAAACTTACAAAATCTACAAGGGATCAAACACTTATTTCCTCCACTGTATATGCATATCAACAGTGATGTGTATTAAACAGAGGGAAGTGTCCTTGTTTCTGGCAAGTCTGGACTTAAATGTAAACGTTTACCATCATCAAATGCAGACCTAAATATTAAGAATGCAAAGAATCCTGCAGGACAAAACTGCGGTTCGTCTTCGCTCCCTGGGGTTTAATGTAACCTGTGAGATTATTTTGGACTCCACACACACACACACACCTCACACACACCTCACACACACCTCACACACACCTCACAGCCAGCCGTTGTTAGAGAAGTCTTTCCTCAGCGTCAGAGTCTCTTCCTGGCTCAGCGGCTGAAGAGGAGACCGACAGGCGCCGCCGTGGAAACCGAACCAGTCCATCGCCTGCTTGAGGGCGGGGACTCCCAACTTCCTGGTCACCTAGCAACACAGAGAGCCAATCAGTATCCACACACACACACACACACACACACACACACACACACACACACACACACACACACACACACACACACACACACACACACACACACACACACACACACACACACACACACACACACACACACACACACACACACACACACACACACACACACACACACACACACACACACACACACCACACACACACACACACACACACACACACACACACACCCCTCCACCTCCATCAGATACCTGCAGTGTGTTTCAAAGCTTTATTGATAAAGACACTGTAATGTCAATGATGTGATGTAACGCTGCTCATGGGCAAATGTACACTCTTTTGCTCTTCTGTGAGTTTAGTGCTGTTAGTACTGCTATTAAATGCTACTTCAGTCATTTCATATTTTTCACATACTTCATAATAATGTGACTTATTTAAAACACATCACACATAGTTTGTACAGTATGTGTATTTGTTTTTTTTATTTGTTATATTTTTTGGGACTTTTTTGACTCATGTTTTTACATCAAGTGGAGGTAAAACACAACAGAACAAATCCAAATAATAGTAATAAATAAATAAAACGATAACATAGTTAAATTAAAGCTGATTACAAGACAGTGATTTGCAGAGGTACACCTGCTGAGACCGTGGCTTTTTAAAACGAGAGTCAGAAGAAGTGTGGCTGAATCTTCCATTACAACAAATCAGATCTTGTATATTTTTGAGACACATATTAGACACTAAATATGAGCCTGAACATGAGCAGAATATGTCCTCTTTAAGATGTCAACCAGTGGCGAGCCGTCAGGGCCCTCTAAGATATTTACAAAATAATATTTAAAAACATTAAAAACAATTATTTATTTTTTAACCTGTTCCACTCTGAGCCTGTTTTTCAGGTCTCAGGCTCGAAAATGACATTCCCAGAACAAATGACCATATCTTCCCTTCTAAAAGGGTTAAATTAATAATCTTTTTTCTCAAAGTAATGATAAACCTGTGAGTTGGATGTAGAAGTGTCAGAATCAATATAAATGTTTTTTATTTTAAAGAAAATTCAGATTTTACATAGTAAAAAACTGTAAATTATAGTGTCCGTCCAAAAATTATTTTTTACAGATAGTGAAAACTACCCTTGGATGATGGGTTAGTAGACTAAAAGCTTTAGGAATCCAAAGTACAACATATAATAAGTACCCTGTATCAAGATTGATGCAAAACAAGTGAAATTTGACCTTTTTAGAGAGATTTAGCCAAAGACTGGGCCATCTGGGGTCATTTGGGTGGATTTGACCTATCTCTGGCCCCCCTTGCTCGATCTGGTTGGTTGACATACCCTTGTGACCGTTAGAGCCAATAGAATCGAAGGAGGAGACTCACATACACATACATTGTAAAGAAAAAATGTGGCCGCTTCGCGTGTGGAAAGCGAAACTAAACTGGAGGAATGTCTCCTTCTGGAGTTTGGAAACTAAAACGCAGTTGTATTGCTTATGGATTATCAGAAATAATTTCAAAGAAGGCACAGACACATAGGATGAACCTATGGATTAACTGCAGCATCGTCTTTTTATCGTTTTAATGCCATTGAAGACCACTTTTGACCAAGGTAAGCCATATTTACATGTTTAGCTTCTTGGCTCCACATGTGATGATGTACGCTTTCGTTGATAGCGTCGCGAATGTTTATCACTGAGTGTTGAGGTGGGCACCGGTAGATTCAGTGTCTCCAGGACACCAAAAAAGAGTGTTTGGTTGTGCATCTAGGATAAGTAATAAGGGAGTTCTGAGTGAGTTTATGTGCCTTTGTAGGTTACGTTTTTTCGTCGAGGCTAATTCAGAGGCTGAGTGCTAGCATTGTGGGGTTTTTTTGAAAAGAAAAATTAAAAAGATCAGTTAGCTGAGTTTCTTCCCGTTACATGGATATAACACATTCATAGTTTTATTCAATATTAAGATTCCTTAGACGTTGTTTCCTGCAAATGACGCGTTTATCCGCCCGGTACCGGGGGGAAGGCGTGAAACAGGTTAATATATATTTTTTTAATATTTTTTAGTTATATTTTTTATTAGTTTTACCAAAATAACTTGATTTAATTGTAATTCAAATAACATTTCCAAAGAAATAAATCCTTCGAATCTGCCTGTTCAGTTTCTGTTTGAATGTGAAGGGTTAAATGAAAGAAGCTCCTTGAGCCGTCTCTGCGAGTCACTGTGAAGCTCGGAGCTGATTGGTGGTCCTGCTGTAAATTCACAGAAGGCCCGCTATAGAGAGGCGAAGTCCCTCCCCTTCACGAGTGTAATGTGTAACGTTAATGACATCACTTACGCGACTCTGGGATTTGTAGTCTTTCTAGTTGCGTATTTTTCATAGTCTTATATTTCAACAGTTTTACGACAAACTGACTTTTTTGACATGGAAATAATTTTTTAAGATTGACAAACATCAGATGTGTAATTCGTGGCACAATTCAAACGGGATCGAAAGATACGTTTTCTCTCCCCATTGACTTCAATACATCATTTTTCCGAAATAAGGTCCCATGGGGCGGAAGTAGATGGGCGGGACTTCGCCTCTCTATAGTAACTGAACGAGAGAGTAATGTCAAATGACAGTACAATTGACCAATCATATCTTCCCTCTAAATGGGTGGGTTTTATTATCGCGGACTTTATGACAAGTTCTTCCCGCTGTGAAACTTTTCTTGTTTCCATAGCAACAACAACTTCCTGTCAACAGCGTAAACTCGCCTTCAAAATAAAAGCATGCCAAATTACACTTAAGACATACAACTGCAACGAAAGTAACAAACACAATGCAATATCCTTTTCAATGTCAAAGAACACAAATTGGGTGTTGTTTTGTGTGGTAGAGGGTGCGTGTCATTGATGCGTTTTGCACCCCGGGCCGTTGTTTTGATATTCCGTTGAAGTATACGCTGTGACGTAATAACTCTTTTTTTTTCGAGGGAAGGGGTGGGGTCAGAGGGCCTAGGTATAAAAGTCACGGCTCGCCACTGATGTCAACAATACCCGCAATGGGACTAATAAAGGATTTCTGATCAAATGACACCTGTTTATTATTCATTATCCATATTTTGCATCCTGTATCACTTCCTTATATTTGAGTGAAGTTGAATGCAATATAATGTATTATACAGTATTTATAGTAGTTACTATGGCTGCTACTTCAATACTCAATATAGCACAGTTAATAGGGGATTATGTGCAATACACACTTCTTACACACTACAGTCGTCACTCACCTCATTCTTTTGTATATATATTTACCCCGTTTTTATAATACTGCTGCTTATATTAGTTACCATGGATGTGTACATATGTGTTTTCCTTTAATTAACAAGTGCTTGTGTCTTTTTATATAGTTTACTCTTTTAATTAAACACTGTAAATCTCTCCGCTGCGTGACAGATGAAGGATTTCTGATTTCTGGATGTCTCTGCTGCAGCGTGAGAAGGTGTTTGCGTGGTGGATTGATGCGGTTAGGGCAGTGACATTTAACACACCTCAACACACACATCTACCTCAACACACACACACACATCTGCCTCCACACACACATCTGTAGCCTGAAGCAGATTATTCAGTGGCGTCTCCTCACACATCTCAACTATCACGCTCAACTTTGTGCTGTTGCTAAGAGCCAGCCTTTGTCTTATTATTATTTAGTTTCTTATATTGTAGACGTTTACTCGTGGATCTACACTAAAACACACATTTTGGTCTCGAAGTGAACTGTTTCTACCTGCTTGCTCTGTGTCTCGTAAATGTACAAGTTCTGATTTGTTTTAATAAAAGATTCAGCCACACTTCGTTTTAAAAAACCACGGTCTCAGCAGGTAAACTTTTCAAATTGTGTAACGTTTATTTTGATTTGAAGTCATAATTTGGTCACTTTGTTTGTAGTTCTCACCTTTTTTCAACAGGACTTAATTATAATAAAAGAATATAATAAAATGAATTATTAAATACACTTAAGTACAAGGTAGTATTAGCAATTGTACATAGTATTTGTATTAACGAGGGTTCATTTTGAGTTTTAATTAGGTTTACTGTGTTACTTTTAAAATATTTTTGTAAATGTACTTTATTGAGCCTAATTTGGGAAATTGATTTGTCACATGTTTACAAGGCATGCCACATGAATTAACAACTAAACTAAATAGAAAATGAACATTAAATGTAAGTATATGCATATCAACAGTGATGTGTATTAAGCAGAGGGAAGTGTCCTTGTTTCTGGCAAGTCTGGACTTAAATTTAAAGCGTCATTAAATGCAGATAATTAACCTAAATATTAAGAATGCAATGAATCCTGCAGGACTAAACTGCAGTTTGTCTTCGCTCCCTGGGGTTTAATGCAACCTGTGAGATTATTCTGGACTCCAGATCAGTTTTAGCTCAGATTCCTGTGACTAACGCTCCAGTCTGTCGCTGTTTGTGAGAGTTGTCTCTGTGTGGCGGCAGATAAAGCGTGCAGCGAGCAGCAGATGGTACTCACGGCAGCGTTGGGCTCGATGAGGCGCTGCTGCAGGACTCTGGCTTCCTGCCAGCGCCCCGACACACACAGACGCTCCAACTCACACACCTCGCGGCCCAGAACGTTGGCCAGCGCACACACTCCGCCAACCGCACCTACACACACACACACACACACAGAGATGAAGAATTAATATACAGCTTCGAAAAAGGTTAAAGCCACTGCAAAATCATTCGTGTATTGAATTAAAGTGGACCTATCATGCTATATTTGAATAATATAGTGTAGGACCATACCTATATAAGGCATATTTATACTTTTTGTTTTTCAAAATACCAAACAGATCATGCATTTTAGCCATGCTTCATTTTGCTCAATTTGACATTTTTTAGCTCTGTTTGTGTAAGGGCAGATAAGGGCAGAACAGCACCATCTACAGGCCTGGCATATGTACTACAGCGTCTCCAGCGCTTTCGAACGGCAATGGCCGTGGCTGTCTCCTCCTGATTGGTGGAGTTGGCCCAATAGCCGTAGCGCCACCGTCCTGACGTCAGGACAGTGTTCAAATCTGGATCAGTTTTTATCAGATCCGTTGCAGCCCCTTTTTTAGAGATTTGGGTATGGAGGAAAATAGAGAGGGTTGTGTTTTCTGACACTTGGTGAGTTCCCTGGAACACCGGGGACACATATTCATGTAGAAAAGACGTACAAAAGTGCATTTTGCATGATAGGTCCCCTTTAAGACATTTAAAAGGGTGAAGGTAGGATTGCAGCAGAAAACAACTCTTCAGCCTCACTTTAAACTATATAGACATACTATACATTCATCCCATTAACCCTAATTCATTTACAGGTGGTCATCAACAAGTTAATAAGCAGTGAGGACAGCGACAAGAGAAAACTTGACCTATCATCAACATTAAATCCCTCTGACTTGATGCAAGGCAGAGGATGTTGCAAAGTCCTCTCACAGGGATTTTGAGGAGTCATATTTCTGCAGACAAACCCGGTGCAGCGTTAAGGTTTGTCCACAACGAAGTGATAACATGATGTTTTATATCCATGTGAACTTGAAGGAAGTAGCCTGATAAATCACATTTGATCATCTCACAGCGTACAATCACTCAACACAGCTCCGAGTATGTTTAGAATATTGAATACTCCATCCACCAATCACACGCAGGGCGCTGAAACATTAGCATTCATCACAACGGAGAACAAGTACCACTAGAGTTTCCATTTCTTCAACCATCAGAGAACTCCTGCAGCTGGAGTTTCCACATGTGGAAGATAAAACGGAGCAGAAAGGATGTTTTCTAACTGGATTTAAGTCCTCCTTAAATAAAGCCATCCATCACTGTCCTGGTTTTACAGCTCTGTTGTCAACACGCAGACATAAGTGATTCACTGACAGCAGATTTCGAGAGAGAAGTCCAGCATTTCATCCCTCCGTCTTCCTCTTCCCCGACACATCAGTAGGCAGAGTGTGATGTCGGGTTTTTATTTACAGAGCTCGATACACATACATTTTCCAAGGCAACAAGATATCATGGCCTTTCAGAGTGACATCTCCTTGTGAGCGTCTGGTGGAGGAGAGGAGCTTCACTCAGCCTCCGTCCGTGGCCTTGGAGTTGATGTTGTTGTTGTTGTTGTTGTTGTGTATTCACTGCTGATGGGCGGATGTTTTCTGTCTGATTTATGTTTCTGTGGCTGAATTCGCTCACATCTCACGGCTGACAGCGGATTACCCAACGCTGCGATTGACAGGCGGCTGCAGGGCGACTGGCGGCTCGTAGAAAGAGACACAAGAGGGCTAATTATGCACACTATGCGTAAACTCTTCATCACTTCTACGTACAAATATGTTGAGTATTTCTTTTGTCTATCTGTGAAAGCCTCTGGGCGACTGACAGCTGGTGGAGAGAAACACAAAACGCTGACTAAGTTATTATAATTGTAGTCAATAACACTTTTACTATCACTTCCAAACACAAATATATTGACTACTTTTGATTGTTAGTTCAATTAAGGAACCTTTTGATTGTTTGAGTTTTTAGTTTTGATTTATCACATGGGGACATTTAAGGGAACAGTTGTGCATTGGATGAACTACATTTTGTGGTTTTCATGTGAATTACATTCTGTAGGGATTCATTATTAGAAACTGTCCCGCCCAAGCCCCCAGGAAGTGCGCCGGACTCTGACGGCCCGTCCACACGGCGGCGTGCGTTGAAGCTTCAACGCTTCTGCCCATTCACTGCAAAAGTTGAGCAATGTTCAACTTTTGAAGCTTCGGCGGAAGCGTCAGCCAATCGAATCATATGCCAGTACAAGCTCTAGCCAATCAAACCGCGTGCTTGTGTGTCCGGGGCGGGAGATTCATGTGATTGGTGGTTGGTCGAGTTTCAGCGCCGCCCCCCCCGCCGGCAAGCTTCAACGCACGCCGCCGTGTGGACGGGCCGTGAGGAAAATATTCGTTGTGGCCAAACGGCGGTACTACACTTCCGTATGGGTTGCTGGGCCCGAAAACACTTTTTCCCATTGACTTACATTGGGAAAGAGACGTCTGTAAATCGTTGGATAATTTTTTTTAAACTAAATAAACTACCCAGTATGAACATTTGTATAGCCCTTATTAAAAACATTCGGTCCTCAAGTTGTAAAATGTGCTAATAACGTTATTCTGAGAGTTATTTTCCTCTGCATTATGAACGCGCATCTGAGAGTGGGAGCTCGGGGGGCGGGGCTTAAGGGGCGCATGCTCTGTGAGCGCACATACGGGTTATTCTGCTCTGACAGCTAGGCATGACGGGTAATCTGTGACGTTTCGCTCTCTCAAAAGTTGGGCCATTTTGCCTTCATGAGCCAATGAGCAGCTCTCATAGGAAAGAACGAGACCCCGCCTCCCACGCTGTATCCAGTTCTTATTATACATCCATGGTCCCGCCCCTAAGTCTATCATGTACTATGTGTTGGAGCGCTAGCCAATAGAAGCGCACGTGTTACATAGTGATGTCACTATGTTCTGGAAGTAAACAAACAAGTCCAATGGAGGAGTTTCAGGCGAGGAGAAAAACTCCCTCTGGAGGAAACACAGAGATTGTAGCCTTTGCAGACCATTTACATGCACTAAAACCTATGTAACACACTAACAAACATAAAAGGGCCATTTTAACACATGCTTTTTTAAACAATTGCATAATGACCACAATAACAGCTGGATAACACAATTTCTTTCTGTCAGAGAACCAAAAGCATTGTGAGAGATGTCTTCCCTTCTTTTGATCATCATACAAAAGAACAATCAAATGTCTGCTGCTTTTGAAACTTCCCTGAAAACCCGTAGATGAGAGTGACTCTTTTTGTCGTGAGGCTCTACAAGGTGTCGACTGACTAATAGACGACCGGACCCTTTCAGGATTTCGGTGGTGGGGTGTTCAAATCGGACTTCAAAACTTGAACACACACACTCCATGGAGACATTAGCATTTCAATCGCTGGATGTGACTTTGCTCAGCCTTAGCTGTGTCAGTCTCACACACTGCCAATTACTGCCATATTTCAGTTATGGAGATCAGAACATGCCAGAGAGCAAAGATCAGAGAGAAGTGTGTGTGTGTGTGTGTGTGTGTATGTGTATGTGTATGTGTATGTGTATGTGTATGTGTATGTGTATGTGTATGTGTATGTGTGTGTGTGTGTGTGTGTGTGTGTGTGTGTGTGTGTGTGTGTGTGTGTGTGTGTGTGTGTGTGTGTGTGTGTGTGTATATATAGAGGGTGAACATGACTCATTAGGTTTCTGAGCTTCATATTGATGGCGATCCCCTAACGTGTTATCTAATCCGGGTTTACAGAACACGGTACGTGGCCGGCATGTCGAGAAGCAGAAGACGTGACTTCAAAATGCTGCTGCGCAAGGTTGCTCGTGTTTTATGATTCACTGCAACTTCAAATAAAAGATCACATGCTTTCCCACAGGATGAGAAACCACTATGGGCTGATAATAAGTGCAGCATTAAGTTTCCCTTAAATCCTAAAAAGTTGGCGATTTGGACTTATTTGAAAAAGGCTTTTAATGTGAAATGGTCTTGAGGACAGGTACATACAATTAGTTATTTTCTGTGTGGTTTCTTCAGAGGGGTTGCTGGATTAAACACTAAAGAAATGTGTGTCTCCACTGTTTCCAGTCTGAGATTATGGTATGGTTGTAACATTCAAACTCTTACGTTAGGAGAAATAGAACATTCTGATAAAACTATCAGACTCAGTTTTCCAGGTTTCACAAGACGTAAAAGAACAAAAGTTCTGTCTTCAACTTTTATTGGAATAAGGTTTGCATAGATGTGGATGAGCGTAGAAGCAAGAATCTATCTGGCATTGTACAACTCAAATCTGGGCTGAAACTAAAGATTGCTTCCATTGTCTTTTCATCTGCTGATTATGTTTGTTCTAGAAAGTGGCAGAAAACAGTAAAAAAAATGACCATCCCATTTGCTCAAAGTCTCAGGGGATGTCTATACATGTCTTGTTTCGTCAGTCCAAGCCTAAATATTCACTTTAATATGATATGAAACAGAGAAAAGCAGGACATATCCACATCTGGTGGGAGGGGGGGCAATTTCTACACTTTTTGCATAATGGTTTTGCACATTTAACTGATTCATGAAATAGTTGGCAATTTTCTTTCTGTGGCTCGATCTAGACATTAAAGGTGGGGTAGGTAAGTTTGAGAAACCGGCTCGAGATCGCTAGAATTTGAAAATACACAACCGGAGAAAATCTGCCACTTCCTTACAGAGCCCCTCCTCCAACACACACGAACGCGCACATGACCAATGAGGGCACGAGATAAGTTTGTGCACAGATGGAAGGCTGACAGGAAGGTAGGCCATCCAGTTATTTTAGCCGGGCCGGCTCAGATGATTGGTCGTGCTTTTTACAGTACTACAGCTTCCACAGATGACATCTTTTTATGGATTTTTTGTCAAAGCACTTAAGATATTCATTGCTATCGGGATGTTAAGAGCATTCCATGGAATATAACAACAAGTGTATCTCGAGCCGGTTTCTCAAACTTACCTACCCCACCTTTAATGAAATGATTGTTGCAGCTCTAGGGCACATCCAACAATTTGGAAGCAGCAGATTGCAAATGGTCCTAATCAGTATTTTGATTCTGGCGTTATGGGCCAGAAGAGTGTTTTGGTGAGGTCGCGGTGAACCTAATGACCCCTGAAATCAAAGCAGTGTTTCCTTGGATCTATGAGGACGTTAGGGACAAATTTGAAGATATTTCTTCCTGACTTTTCTAGAATATAGCGTTCACGAGAATGGGACGGATGGATGGAAAAATAAAGAGGACATGTTTGGGACATTTTTCTGTGCAACTACAGGAAGTGACACCAAGGGTTTATGGGTAGAAAGAGGTGGATGTTAACATGCGACTACGCACTTTTCATGGGGAAGAGCATTTATCAGAACATCGAATAATACAAGATATTTGTGAATTATGTGGATGTTCATTTATGTAACACAGGACTCGAAATGAAAGATATACAAAGACAACAGAGTCAAATTCTGCTTTGGTGAGAGATCAAAAGGAAACAAACAGTGAGCAAGATGGCAGCCTCAGGGATAACAAGGCTACCATCTCCTCCCTGTGAGGATCAACAGCTCCGTTAGTCCTCACTTAGCTTCTTACCGACACAATAGGCGGCCATGAGGAACCCTGCTGAGCCCGCCAACACCTGGAAATCCTGCGATCTGGTTTTGTGAACAATCAGGCCGATCCGTGAGATCTGAGGAAGTAAGAAAGAAAGGAGAGAAGAAGGTTTACAAATCAGGAGTGTTTTATGTCCTCCCTCCTCCCTGCTGTCAGGGGGAAATATATGCTGGAGTTATTTTATAAATCCCCGGAGACGCTGTCACAAGAGACAAATCTAACATCTCACAGGGTAAACAAATCGCTCAAATCGACTCTTAACATGCTGGAGGTTTTGGGAGGAGGGGATAATTCAAGAGCCCAAAGACAAGGAGAAGAAGAAGGAGGAGGAGGAGGAGAGACAAGTCCCAAGTGAGAAATAAAAAGGAATCACCTTCAAAAGGGAGGGGGAGGGGGACGGGGAAAGGCTCATGAATAATTGATAAGCTCCCTATTTTGTTTTGCCTCTTTTAATTCTCTTTTGTCAATCCGGATATGAAGCGCAGAATCCAAATAAACCTGAACTGTTCAAAGGGAGACGAACACATGGAACTGAAACTCCGCAGGGAAAAGCATCAGCTCCGGTTTGAGTCTCCATCACGGTTTCAGGATCTATTTTTACCCGCCGACTGTCAATCAGTTTCCCCATATCAGTCATTTCAAACACGCAGGACTGTAATTGATCAGTCAGTCAATCAGGTTATAGGAGCTCCTGCTGCTCTGCTGAGGGTTTCAGCACTCTGGCTATTTCGATACGGCTTCCTGGTGAGAAAAATAACATCGCAGCGAGAGAACTGTCGGAGAAACACTCTTTATAGTGAGAACAAAAGGGAATTTAACCCTCTACTGAAGATTGTGGTCTTGTGATAATGTATCAGTCCAAAAATGCACTTTCTATACCCTTTTCTCTCAGTTTTGTATCTATCTTAATTATGTTTGTGACCTCAGGGCATCAATGTGGAATATGTGTGTAGAAACACAGAGAAAAATCTGATTTCAGAGTTTAAATATCATAAACATTTATGTGCTTTTAAGGTAGGGACTAGGGCTGTGCGATTATGGCAAAAATCATAATCACGATTATTAAATACGATTATTCATTGACTTTGAAAAAATCCATTTATTGAATTTTAAAACAAATACAAATAATAATTTGAACAGTATATTTGTAACTGTTGATTACCCTGAACGTATAATTCAACTGAAAAACCAATACAAAAATAAATAACACATTTAAATAAATAATATCAAAATAATAAATACCAATAAACAAGATTAACAAATATTTTGGAGCGCACTTCCCCAAGCTACTAAACATATATAAATATGATAAATACAAATAAATGAGACCAAAATTAATTAGATCAAATATGTTGCACGGTCACAACCTAGCAAAGCAAAATAATTGTTTTTTTCGATTATGTTGTTTTCGTAATTGTGGCAGGACAAAATCGTAATTGCGATTAAAATACGATTAATTGCACAGCCCTAGTAGGGACACACCAAGCTGACACCAAAGAACTCACACAGACAGGCCCGACTGTTGTGTCTCCTCACGTCTCCTGCACCTTGGCCAACAGTCTCACTGGAACACACCGCAAAGACTTCAGCCGACGGCCAAGTAGCACGTACGAACTGCGCATGCGTGAGTGGCAATAACTCTCCTTACCAGCAGGCGGCGGTAGTGTGTATTCGTCATTCAAAAGAGGCAACAACCGGAAGACAGACTGCGTGATACACCGAGAGAAGAAGAACAGACTGCGTGATATAAACAAACCAAAAAAAATACACAACGGTGCGTGACACACCAATCTGAGTAGGGCGACAGGACGCTCATCGTCGGCCTGACATCCATTGACGGCCAAAATCGGCTTGGTGTGTCCGGGGCTTGATTCTATTAAAATAAATAGACTCTTTGTCGTAATGACTTGGCTTTATGGATGCTACTGTCAGTCTCCTGGTCCTCTAACTGTGATCTAACTTGAATATCTCAAGAACTATTGGATAGATTGTCGTGAAGTTTATTACATGGAATTAGTCATGGTTCCCAGAGGATGAGTCCAGCCGATTTCCATGATTATGGTGTTCATATTTGTGTCTTTAAATGTAAAATATCTCAACAACTATTCAATGGATTGTCATGTAGTTGAGTATAGTCAGTCATGGTCCCCAGAGGATGGATCTTACTCATATCAGAGATCTTCTGACTATTCCTCCAGCTCCACCAGGGTTCAAATGTGTGTTTAATGTAAAATAACTCAACAGTTGTTATATATAGATTGCCATTTGGTTTAGTATAGACAGTCATGGTCCCCAGAGGATGAATCTACCTCATTTTTGTGATCACCTGACTTTTCCTCTAGCACCACCATGAGGTTAAAATGTGTGCTTTTATGTTAAATATCTAAAGAAACGATTGGATGGTTTGCCATGTAGTTTAGTACAGACAGTCATGGTCCCCAGAGGATAAATCCACCTCATTGTTGTGGTCACCTGACTTTTCCTCTAGCACCAACATGCTGTTCAAATGTGCGATTTCGTGAAATATCTCAACAACTGTTGGAAAGTTTGCCGTAACATTCATGTTCCCCTTGGGATGAACTGTAATCATCAAGTTGATGAACACTATTCTGAAATGGGCCATTTTGCATAACGATTGCTTATAATTTTGGTACTTTAAAGTGGACCTATCATGCTATATTTGAATAATATAGTGTAGGACCATACCTATATAAGGCATATTTATACTTTTTTCTTTTCAAAATACCAAACAGATCATGCATTTTAGCCATGCCTCATTTCGCTCAATTTGAAAAATGTTAGCTCTGTTTTAGCAAGGGCTGATTCTGTGAGAACAGCACCATCTACAGGCCTGGCATATGTACTACAGCGTCTCCAGCGCTTTCGAACGGCAATGGCCGTGGCTGTCTCCTCCTGATTGGTGGAGTTGGCCCAATAGCCGTAGCGCCACCGTCCTGACGTCAGGACAGTGTTCAAATCTGGATCAGTTTTTATCAGATCCGTTGCAGCCCCTTTTTTAGAGATTTGGGTATGGAGGAAAATAGAGAGGGTTGTGTTTTCTGACACTTGGTGAGTTCCCTGGAACACCGGGGACACATATTCATGTAGAAAAGACGTACAAAAGTGCATTTTGCATGATAGGTCCCCTTTAAGTAAATGATAGAAGTACAATACTTCTCCCTATATATATATTATACGTTATCAAAGATGCACAAAGAAGCATTGGAAGAATAAGCGATGCATATTAACAAACCTGGTTGTCCCATGAGGCAAGAAAATGAAATGTTTTTAATGATGCGTTATGTATTCGGGGAACACTTTGATGAATCTCCACCTCCCCTGGTTGCACGTGTCGCTTCTGGCTACACATCTTGTTATCTCATTGGTTTCCCTTCAGAAAGGTTGACAGCAGCAGAGGTTCAAGTTGAAATAACCTGAGCTCTGTGCACGGCGCTCAGTGGGAAATTGATCTCAGAGGAAAACTACGGCACTGATCATGTGTGGGTTTAACCAAGCGGCCAAATATTAGTGCACAATATTGCTTTGAGACAAAACACGGAAATGTACTGTTTAGGAATATATGGTTGATATAAAAATCAAATATATATCTAAACCAAAAAACATGCTTCTTTAGAGATGTTTGTTTCACAAGTTATTTAAACTTTAACATCAATTTGCAGCTGTTATCTGTTCAGACGTTTTGCAGTGATAAACAAAAGAAGGCATTGTAATTATTACACCTGACAGACGATCATTTTTTGCAATAAACAAACAGGTTTATTTTGGTCGGTGTGTAAAGGCGATAATGGATTCAGACATCTGGCACATGCAGGAGGTGCACAGATTTAAAGTAAAAAACCAGATATTAGTAGAAAAGAGTGGGTAGGAGGAATCATGAGACGAGAGCAGGTGAAACTGTAGTGTTTCTTATAAGAGTAGCACATATTTAACTATACATGTATGACAAGTCAATTAAATATCTCCAGTTTGACTTTTTTGCCTTTAGAAACTTCCAATTGCAGTAGGAAAGATTGCTGGATGCCAAATGTCTGAAGCAGGATTCAGATGATTGTTTTCACCCACAGTTTGTCTCGTTCATTTATTCACAAATGACCAGTCTGTCAGATGTGACTGCATCTCTTTTTCTATATATCATCAACATCAAAATATCTCGCTGCTGCACAGAGAGAATAAAAACACCAACGGCTGAGCCAAAAATAGAAGCCCAGGGAACCACAAACACATCTATCTCTACGTGATGTGTCTTCAGATGGTCAGGACAGAGAGAATCTGTGCTGCTGTTTGATCATCTAACAAATCAAAAACAGCTATTTTTATAGGAATACCCCACAGAGAACTCACACCTCATTATAAGTGTTGGAAAGTTACTTTTTAAAGAGGCCCTATTATGCTTTTGGGGTTTTCCGTTTCCTGTGGTGTGTTGTAAAGGTTTGTGTGCATGTATACGGTCTGCAAAGGCTTGAATTTTAAGGAAAGGGAGTTTCTCACACAAAAATCACTGATAATTTGCTGCAATGGCATGTTTGGTCGGAGTCATGTTCAGCATGTAATTCAGCACAATCAGTGGAAACAGCCGTGTGTATATGGTGGTGATTTAAGCAGCCTATTTCCAGTAAAGCAGAAAGGAAAGTGGTGCCTGCCGGAGATCCTAAAAGTAAAGAGTGTACTTTTATCCTTCAGGCTTGATTTTGCCGGAGGGAAAGAAAGCGGTTTGCTCCTGTCGAGCCCTTAATACCTTTTCGTCTGTGTGGGAAGTGTTTGCAAGAAGTTTTGAAATGGATTTCTGATTTGGGAAATAACATGTTTGTCCACTCGCTGGGAGACAGCAGCGTGGGAGTAGTTCAGACTCAGAGCGGAGGGTGGGCGGGAGGAGGCCACACGCAGAAAACAAGAGGTGAGGGGTCAATTTGAGGAAGGCAGACAAGTGGAATACGATTATTCTGAATATGAAGGGCAAACAGATTTACCTACGTCGGCAAACTCCTGCTATTTTGCCGATTACTTGTGTAAGAAAGTCTTAATTCTTTACCTTTCATGGTCTTAGCTGGAGTACAATCTTGTAATATTTGGGCCAAAGTACATTTGAAAGGAGGTTTATAGGCACTACTTGTGTTCTGTGTGTGATCAGTAATGCAGCACCATCTGAGCTTCTGTAAAAACTGCATTAAATATGTTAACACATTAAACAGACTGTACATCAGACGCAGATGTAAAACACTTCCTACACCTGACCCGACGACCTGCTGAGTCATTAGAACTTGCAGATTATACATCACGGACAGATGGTGTTTGAGGTGCATATGTAAAACGTATCCGCAAATACACAATCAAATTCCTCAGATTAAAAAAAAGTTGAAAAAGGCCAAAGAGGGGTTTGATGTAGCAAGTCATACATTTTAAAGGTCACCTATTGTGCAAAATCCACTTCCTCATGTCTCTTCTACATCAACATGTGTCCCCTCTTCTTCATGTCTCTTCTACATCAACATGTGTCCCCTCTTCTTCATGTCTCTTCTACATCAACATGTGTCCCCTCTTCTTCATGTCTCTTCTTCATCAACATGTGTCCCCTCTTCTTCATGTCTCTTCTACATCAACATGTGTCCCCTCTTCTTCATGTCTCTTCTACATCAACATGTGTCCCCTCTTCTTCATGTCTCTTCTACATCAACATGTGTCCCCTCTTCTTCATGTCTCTTCTACATCAACATGTGTCCCCTCTTCTTCATGTCTCTTCTACATCAACATGTGTCCCCTCTTCTTCATGTCTCTTCTACATCACCATGTGTCCCCTCTTCTTCATGTCTCTTCTACATCAACATGTGTCCCCTCTTCTTCATGTCTCTTCTGCATCAACATGTGTCCCCTCTTCTTCATGTCTCTTCTACATCAACATGTGTCCCCTCTTCTTCATGTCTCTTCTACATCAACATGTGTCCCCTCTTCTTCATGTCTCTTCTACATCAACATGTGTCCCCTCTTCTTCATGTCTCTTCTACATCAACATGTGTCCCCTCTTCTTCATGTCTCTTCTACATCAACATGTGTCCCCTCTTCTTCATGTCTCTTCTACATCAACATGTGTCCCCTCTTCTTCATGTCTCTTCTACATCAACATGTGTCCCCTCTTCTTCATGTCTCTTCTACATCACCATGTGTCCCCTCTTCTTCATGTCTCTTCTACATCAACATGTGTCCCCTCTTCTTCATGTCTCTTCTGCATCAACATGTGTCCCCTCTTCTTCATGTCTCTTCTACATCAACATGTGTCCCCTCTTCTTCATGTCTCTTCTTCATCAACATGTGTCCCCTCTTCTTCATGTCTCTTCTACATCAACATGTGTCCCCTCTTCTTCATGTCTCTTCTACATCAACATGTGTCCCCTCTTCTTCATGTCTCTTCTACATCAACATGTGTCCCCTCTCTTCATGTCTCTTCTACATCAACATGTGTCCCCTCTTCTTCATGTCTCTTCTACATCAACATGTGTCCCCTCTTCTTCATGTCTCTTCTACATCACCATGTGTCCCCTCTTCTTCATGTCTCTTCTACATCAACATGTGTCCCCTCTTCTTCATGTCTCTTCTGCATCAACATGTGTCCCCTCTTCTTCATGTCTCTTCTACATCAACATGTGTCCCCTCTTCTTCATGTCTCTTCTTCATCAACATGTGTCCCCTCTTCTTCATGTCTCTTCTACATCAACATGTGTCCCCTCTTCTTCATGTCTCTTCTACATCAACATGTGTCCCCTCTTCTTCATGTCTCTTCTACATCAACATGTGTCCCCTCTGTGGAAAGAGACTCTGAAAGTTTCAGGAACAAAGATTCTCTCTCTTTTTGTCCTGATCCATTTATATAAAAACCTGTCTGAAAATGAGCTGATCAGATTTTGGCCATTTTTTACAGTATGACTGTTTTATTTTTGATTGCGGTTGCTTATATCTAACTACAAAATAAAGATCAAGGGAATGCATTTTGGGTTTTCAGGCATCAAATGTATTTTTGGTTCCTATTTGCCAGTATTGCAGTTGTATTAAACCATTAATAAATGATTATGGGTTTCCTTTTGTTCAAATAAACCATATACAAACAAATTGAAAAAGACAAAAGCTGACCCTGATCAGGATCTCCTCACAGATTACACAGAGTCAAATAAAGCGTGTCTTACGTCTCCTCCGCTGTCTTTGAGCCCGTGGATGTTGGGGTGTTGAGACAGCGTCACCACGGCGTCCAGCGGCAGGTCCAGCCCGGTGTTTGCAGGAACGCTGTACAGAACCACCGGCACCGGGCTGCGGTCCGCCACCTGCAGGGAGGAGAACAGGTTAGAAATCCAGACTGCCACCTCCTCTCAATCTCTGCTTTATTCCTGCAAAACACCTCTCTCCAGCTTGCTTAAAACAACTAGTGAGTAGATTTGTAAGCATGTTTCCTAAAATATCACCTTTATACGTACGACATATCCGTACGACATATAAGAAAAATCAATACAAAGGCTATATAATTAAAGGTCACCTATTATGCAAAATCCACTTCTTCCTGTCTCTTCTACATCAACATGTGTCCCCTCTTCTTCATGTCTCTTCTACATCAACATGTGTCCCCTCTTCTTCATGTCTTTTCTACATCAACATGTGTCCCCTCTTCTTCATGTCTTTTCTACATCAACATGTGTCCCCTCTTCTTCATGTCTCTTCTACATCAACATGTGTCCCCTCTTCTTCTTGTCTCTTCTACATCAACATGTGTCCCCTCTTCTTCATGTCTCTTCTACATCAACATGTGTCCCCTCTTCTCCATGTCTCTTCTACATCAACATGTGTCCCCTCTTCTCCATGTCTCTTCTACATCAACATGTGTCCCCTCTTCTTCATGTCTCTTCTACATCAACATGTGTCCCCTCTTCTTCATGTCTCTTCTACATCAACATGTGTCCCCTCTTCTTCATGTCTCTTCTACATCAACATGTGTCCCCTCTTCTTCATGTCTCTTCTACATCAACATGTGTCCCCTCTTCTCCATGTCTCTTCTACATCAACATGTGTCCCCTCTTCTTCATGTCTCTTCTACATCAACATGTGTCCCCTCTTCTTCATGTCTCTTCTACATCAACATGTGTCCCCTCTTCTTCATGTCTCTTCTACATCAACATGTGTCCCCTCTTCTTCATGTCTCTTCTACATCAACATGTGTCCCCTCTTCTTCATGTCTCTTCTACATCAACATGTGTCCCCTCTTCTTCATGTCTCTTCTACATCAACATGTGTCCCCTCCTCCTCATGTCTCTTCTACATCAACATGTGTCCCCTCTTCTTCATGTCTCTTCTACATCAACATGTGTCCCCTCTTCTTCATGTCTCTTCTACATCAACATGTGTCCCCTCTTCATCATGTCTCTTCTACATCAACATGTGTCCCCTCTTCTTCATGTCTCTTCTACATCAACATGTGTCCCCTCTTCTTCATGTCTCTTCTACATCAACATGTGTCCCCTCTTCTTCATGTCTCTTCTACATCAACATGTGTCCCCTCTGTGAAAAGAGACTCTGAAAGTTTCAGGAACAAAGATTCTCTCTCTTTTTGTCCTGATCCATTTCTATAAAAACCTGTCTGAAAATGAGCTGATCAGATTTTGGCCACTTTATGATGTCATAACGATGTTTTGGCTTGTGTAACCATTAGCCAATCACCAACCAAGGTACCCCACACACACCTTATCACCTGAATCTCCTCCTAGAGCACCATTGAGTTCTTTTTAACCAAATATCTTTGAATTGTAATAGAGCGCCCCTAGTTACACCAATCAGCGTGCGATTACCGTACAGCCAATCACAATGCGTGACGTCATTGGTAAGCGACGGACTCCGAACACATATGGTAGGGCGAACACATAGAGGGGCCGTTTCTCAATCGCGAGGATATTGGCTTCCAAGCCAATATTTCAAGGATGCTACGTCATCAAGTGGCGCAGCAGGACCGTTCCAATGTCCAGCATACTTGGAATTCCACCGAGGCCGCGTCCTTGGTTTGGGGGAAATTTCGAGGCTGCACATGGGTAGACTTCGCATCCTTAAAATCCCCACAATGCTTTGCGCACGGACCAATTTCCCCAAATCTGTGGCGGAAAATGTAAGGCGGGGCCTCTCATATGACGCACACCTGCACACTTGTTAGCCTGTTCCATTCTTCTTCGTTTTCCGAAGCCGTGGCTTGAAAGCATACTTGCTTCGTTTCTGAAGGAAGTGACTTGGAAGTACGCGACTACCAAGCCAGCATCCTCGAGATTGAGAAACGGCCGGGGTGTTTCTCAATCGCGAGTAAAGCTGCTCCAGAGCCACTATTTCGAGCATACTATGTCATCGAGTGCCGCCGAAGTACTGTTCCAATGTCCAGCATACTTGGAAATCTACCGAGCCCGGCGTACTCCGTTTGGAGAAATATCGAGGCTGCACACGAGTAGACTCCGCGGTCTTAAAATCCCCACAATGCTTTGCGCACGGACCAATTTCCAAAATCTGTGGCGGAAGATGTAAGGCGGGGCCTCTCATATGACACACACCTGCACACTTGCTAGCTTGTTCCACTCTTCGTTTTCCGAATGCCAGGAAGTATTCTTGCCTCGCTTTTGAAGCAAGATGCTCGGCAGACATGTGCTACCAAGCAAGCGTACTCGCGATTGAGAAACACCCATGGTACTGACACCGGCACCGCCCTTTATTATCATCTTTTTTAAACGGCATCATGTAAAATGACACGTTACGCTCGTGTTGTGTTCAAGGAACCTGTCCTTGGTCAGGAAAAACAGGCAGTCGCTTGTTTAATTCTGTTGCGGTCTAAATTTATTAAATTGTTTGTTTCCTTCTGCGCTGCATTGCGTGCGTTGCGTGCGTGGCATGCATGGCGTGCATGGCTTCCTTCTGGAGGTAACGGGGAGAAGCGCTCTGGCAGAGGTGCCGACCCCTGGTCTATAGCATAACGATTGCTAATTCTCTAAATGAATGGTTATCTTTACATGGCTGATTATGTGTTAGTATGAATAACATAATTATGAAATATGCCATTGTGATGAAGTCCAGGATAATTTGTTGATGGAGTGTTGACAGGTTCTTAGAGATAAATGGGTTCAATGTTTTAAACTGATGCCATATACTTGACAGATATTTGAGTTTGGTTTGTGAAACCTTCCCACTATGGGAGCATACTTCACCTCTTTAACAACATCTTAGTTAATAATGTAACTCACCCACTATAACCTTTATTCCAGCAATAAATCCGCACTTTAGACTGAGACACTCCCTGAGTTACATGAGAGGAGACAGAGTTCAGCAGAGGAGGCGTGACAGAGCTCCTCCCTCACTGACTCACCTGAGATAAACCAGGAAACAGTTTGTTATTCTCCCTCACTGCAGAGAGAGAGACGGACTGAAAAACAGACGATCACATTCACCTTCAGACCAAACTAACAACTTCCTCTGAGTTCAGCTACAGGAGAGAAAAGTGGAAACTACAACACTGCTGCTTCAACCTGCTGACCCTCCCCCCCTGAAGGTGAGTCTCCAAACATCACTCAAAGAGAATTTCAGTGAAGTCAGTAGAGGAGGGGGAGGGGAGCCATGACTGACTGTACTTCCTGTCTGCTGTGTTTCAGCTTCACTCAGAGACAACATGGCGTCCAGGTTAGAGGAAGATCTCTCCTGTCCGGTCTGTCAGGAAGTCTTTAGAGATCCTGTCATTCTGTCGTGCTGCCACAGCTTCTGTAAAGCCTGTCTGCAGACCTGGTGGGATGGGAAAGAAGTGAAGGAGTGTCCAGTTTGTAAGAGAAGAATCTCAAGAGATCCACCTTTGAACTTTGCTTTAAAGAACCTGTGTGAGACCTTCTTACAGGAGAGAGATCATAGTCCTCCAGAGGCTCTCTGCAGTCTGCACTCTGAGAAACTCAGACTCTTCTGTCTGGACCATCAGCAGCCAGTGTGTGTCGTCTGCAGAGATTCAAAAACACACACCAACCACAGATTCAGACCCATCGATGAAGCTGCTCAGGATCTCAGAGAGGAGCTCCAGAAGTCTCTCCAGCCCTTTCAGGAGAAACTGAAGCTCTTTGAAGAAGTTAAAGTGGAGTTTGATCAAACAGCAGGACACATGAAGGTCCAGGCTCAACACACAGAGACGCAGATCAAGGAGCAGTTTAAGAAGCTTCACCAGTTTCTAGAAGAGGAAGAGGAGGCCAGGATGGCTGCACTGAGGGAGGAAGAGGAGCAGAAGAGGAAGATGATGGAGGAGAAGATGGAGGCTGTGAGCAGAGAGATAGCAGCTCTTTCCCACACAGTCAGAGCCACAGAGGAGGAGCTGAGAGATGAAGACGTCTCCTTCCTGCACAACTACAAGGCTGCAGTGGAGAGGCTGCAGCGCCCCCTGCTGGAGGATCCACAGCTGCCCTCAGGAGCTCTGATAGACCAGGCCAAACACCTGGGCAACCTCAGCTTCAACATCTGGAGCAAGATGAAGGACATGGTGTCCTACTCTCCTCTCATCCTGGACCCAAACACGGCTCATCCAAGACTCTTCCTGTCTGAAGATCTGACCAGAGTGAGACGAGGAGGAGGGAGACAGAAACTTCCTGATAATCCAGAGAGGTTTGATAAACACGCCTTAGTCCTGGGCTCTGAGGGCTTTAACTCAGGGACTCACAGCTGGGATGTCCAGGTTACAGACAGTACACTCTGGGTACTGGGTGTGTCAGCAGAGTCTGTCCAGAGGAAGGGAGACACAGAGTCTGGATCATGGGGAATACGTTTCTATAAAGGTGAATACGTAGCATGTTCACCATCAGCTCCAGACACTCCTCTCAGCCTGAAGAAGAAGCTCCAGAGGCTCAGAGTGGATCTGGACTGGAACAGAGGAAAGTTGTCGTTCTCTGACCCTGACACTAACACACACATACACACCTTCACACACACTTTCACTGAGAAGATGTTTCCATACATCAGCACTTGGGAGGAAGTGAAGATATTACCACTGAAGGTGTGTGTGACAGTGGATCAGAGCAGGTAGAGATACACAGGATCATTATATCTATGATGATCATCTCTTAAAGGGATCATTCACTGACCTCTGAACCTGTCCTCCTGCTGAACACTACATTTAAGTATCATAAATGTGTGTTTCAACCTTAGTGCTTCAATATTCCATGATCCTATGGAAAAATCCCATTGGTTTCTTGTCGAGGTGGCCCTTGTGACGCTACCTTCTTTAAAAGCATGTGTGTGTGAGAATGTGTGAGAATGTGTGAGCTGACCTTAGTGAAGTGTTGGATCAGAGCGCGGCTGTCCATCTTCCCCTTGTAGAAACACGGCGTTACAACCAGCACCACGTCAGCTCCGGCAGCCGCCATCTTCTCTGTGAGCTGCACCGTGGCTCTGGTGGCTGCACGAAAAAAAAAAAAAAAAAGGGGAAACAACTTAATAATTAAGCTTTATTATTGTCTAGCTGGAAGACAATAATAGTGAAAAAACGACAAAGGAAAACAGACGCTCAAAAAAATTGTAAAAAAACAGACCAAAATAGTGAAAAAGATTACATGTCCAGTGGTTGCACAGAAAAAAGAGCGGCAAGAACTTTATTATTCAGCTTTATTATTGGTCTACTGGGAATCACTGTGGTTAGTTAAAGTTTCCTACAGAACAAAGCAAGATGACATGTTGTTCTAATGTTTATAGATCTGTTAGAAGCAAGAACATGTTTTCAGGCATCAAAAGACACTTTGGGCTCGTTTAATCTTTTCTATTTGGCAGTATTTGCAGTTAAATAAATAATCCTCATGGGTTTCCCTCCAATAAAGCATCACATGTGCAGATACAACGGTTGGTAAATCATTAATGAGATGTTTTTCACAAAAATCAATAAAGTCAGAAGTTGTTAATGTGAATAAATTGTTAATACATTTTTCCAGGGGCTTTCTGGTCAGTCGGAGGGTTTTCATGATTAAAGGGGCCCTATAATGCGAATTATCAGGTGTATATCAGTATGTACTGTCTCTACTTTAAAGAGTCCTCTCCTGCTGATGTTCAGGTGTATATCAGTATGTAGTGTCTCTTCTTTAAAGAGTCCTCTCCTGCTGATGTTCAGGTGTATATCAGTATGTAGTGTCTCTTCTTTAAAGAGTCCTCTCCTGCTGATGTTCAGGTGTATATCAGTATGTAGTGTCTCTACTTTAAAGAGTCGTCTCCTGCTGATGTTCAGGTGTATATCAGTATGTAGTGTCTCTACTTTAAAGAGTCCTCTCCTGCTGATGTTCAGGTGTATATCAGTATGTAGTGTCTCTACTTTAAAGAGTCCTCTCCTGCTGATGTTCAGGTGTATATCAGTATGTAGTGTCTCTACTTTAAAGAGTCCTCTCCTGCTGATGTTCAGGTGTATATCAGTATGTAGTGTCTCTACTTTAAAGAGTCCTCTCCTGCTGACGTTCAGGTGTATATCAGTATGTAGTGTCTCTACTTTAAAGAGTCCTCTCCTGCTGATGTTCAGGTGTATATCAGTATGTAGTGTCTCTACTTTAAAGAGTCCTCTTCTGCTGATGTTCAGGTGTATATCAGTATGTAGTGTCCCTACTTTAAAGAGTCCTCTCCTGCTGATGTTCAGGTGTATATCAGTATGTAGTGTCTCTACTTTAAAGAGTCCTCTCCTGCTGATGCTCAGGTGTATATCAGTATGTAGTGTCTCTACTTTAGAGATGTCCCGCCTCTTAGCCTATCACGTACAATGTGTTGGAGCGCTAGCCAATAGGAGTGAGAAAACCTGATTTGTTGATTTCTACTTCATGTTATAGTTTTAACTCTAGTTCCTGTTGTTATGTATGGCCTGTAAAATGTAAAAGACAAACAAACACACATCTGAAATACATTTTATTGAGACGGATTCCTCACAGAGTAGCTCGTGGCTGCAGGAGCTTTTTATGTTTTGTTATGGTGGACTAGCTGGGTTGTTTCTATAGTACCTACTTAGATTTCAGCTCCTCTGTGGAAACACAATGCAAAGAGGCCTTGTAAGCTTGAATGCCTACACACACACACACACACACACACACACACACACACACACACACACACACACACACACACACACACACACACACACACACACACACACACACACACACACACACACACACACACCACACACACACACACACACACACACACACACACACACACACACACACACACACACACACACACACACACACACACACACACACACACACACACACACACACACACACACACACACACACACACACACACACACACACACACACGACCCTGAGATGTTAGGAAACAGAACTACCTGGAAAATGTACTGCTTTAATAATTATTGAAGTGAGAGCCCGGGTCTTTATATTGTTTGTGAATAAAGGAAGAAAATGGAAGTAAAGGGACTGCAGAGCGAGGTAATTCACATTTCCTCGTCTCTCTGAGGGTTTGTTATAGAATTGAGAAGGACATTTTACTTCACTTATTAGTACATAAGAACGAAAGGAGCAAATGTTCAGGTTTTATAATTGTATTTTGGTGAACATGTAAGCAGCTTTTCATTAGTTATTGTAGTTAAAGTTGTACATAAGATGGGTTGAGAGTACACACACACACACACACACACACACACACACACACACACTTACACTCGCAGCCTGACCCGGCCATCAGCAGCTTGTCGTCGGGCAGAGATCGCCGGACGGTCCTCACCACCTCCACCCTCTCCTGCTCCGTCAGGTAGGGATACTCTCCGTTAGAGCCCTGGACCACCAGACCTGCAACACAGAATCAGATCTCCTTCATCATATTCCATCTTTTATTTTTGTTATACCTGTGTTATTTACGTTCTCGGTGTTGATTTGATTTCTATACATTTAGTTTTTCATAGTCTCATGTTTAATTTTTAGGATTTGAGACCTTAAATATGTTATGACCCCTTGTTAAAGAAACTGTTCATCTAAATTGGAGTACTATTGGATGTAAAGGGGAATGTGAGAAATGAACTAATAAAGAATAAGTAAGAAAAAGAAAAAAATAATTCCTTTATCTGGGGAAATGTACATTATTAAAGGTCCCATGTCATGGCCATTTCTACTGATCATAATTCCATTGTTGAGGTCTACTAGAATAGATTTATATTGTTCAATGTTCCAAACTCACATTGGTTTCTCATACAGCATCTCTGTATAGTACGTGTATTCACTCTCTGTCCTACACGGCTTGTAGGAGCTCCTGCCCCCCCCCTTGTGAGCCCAGTGGCCGTCTGCGAGACAGCGAGACACAGCGAAACCCAGCCCGAAACCAGCCCTAACACACACACACCCGCAGCCTGGCTGGGAGTTTGTGTGTGTGTGTGTGCTCACACACCGACTCACAGCCTCGCCGCGTCCCGCCGTCTCAGGCTGAAAAATCGGCGGAGCTGCAGCTGAGAAAAGATTGAGTGTGTGTGTGTGTGTGTGTGTGAGGCAGTCCGCGGATTGGTCCATTTGGAGCAATCCGCGGACTTAACGTAACGGCTCCACGGATTGGGTATGGGCACGTCACTGTACCCAGGAAGAAAATTAGAAATCTCCAACGAGGCGTTCTGGGGCAGCACAGACAGGTCTTTTCTGTGTTAGAGTTTTACTCGCTACAGGGTGTACTTTGAGGGTTTGTGACTCTGCAGACCGTTTACATGCATAGAAACCTTCATAACACACAAGGGGACGGGTAATAACCAGAAAAGCATGACATGGGCCCTTTAAAGCTAATTATAGATTGAGACGAAAAATAAAACACTATAAGATACAAGGAATCCACATAAAATGAACACATTCAGGTAGATAAGTAAGTAGCAGAAGTATTTATAAGATAAAATAAGTGTAACACGTAGAATTAAGTGTGGTAGATAAGAGCATTAAATGTATATATTGCACAGCTTACATACAGATTCTTGTTACAGTAATAGATGGTCGAACTAAGGAGTAGTTGCCAGTAGTAGTAATAATCTTAACTAGTAACATAAGTGTTGTTGCACATAAGTGGCATCCATGTTTGGTTTGTTTTTATTATTATTTTATTTATTTGTTATCTTAAAATGAAATGCAATATGTCCATATAAAGCTTAGGGATCATAGTAGTTGATAATAAATTAAGCTCAGCGCAAGTTCAATCAGGAAGACCAAGCTCTTCATTCAGATTACACGTCACCACATTACACTCTCCTTCCTCATTAAGTGATCGGGGGCGTCTCTCCCCAGCTAACCAATCTCTCCTCTCCCCATTCTCACAAGCCTATCATAGCTCCCGCTAATCCCTTTATATCTGCTCTTCCCTCTGCCAGCTGTCATTTCAGGTGACAAAACGCAACCCTCCTCCACCCCTTTCGCCTCCCGTCTCCTTCAGGACCAAGCTAAACCTTCTCCCTTCAGTCCGTTCCCACCTACTTATCACCACCACCAGTGTCTAGACCCCGGGGGGTTTCATCGGAGCGGTTCTTCCCCCTCCTGAATGATTATCCTGCAAACTGGGGCCTAATCGCCAAACACCATTTCATTCTCCTGTTCATATTATGTGTCCCGGTAATAAATATGTATTCCATACATCAACGTCTCTCCTGATTGAAATAACAGTAGTAGCAGTAGATATCACATAACATTGAAGGTCATTTAGATACTGCACTTTCTGGATGTCTAAAGCACTGAACAAAGAGGAAAAGTAAAACTACAAGTGTTTCAATTTCAAAGTAGCCTACTGTTTATAAATCAATCAATCACACTTTATTTATAGAGCCATTTTCATACACTTACACAAAGTGCTTCACAAACAACCAACAAGCTCCAAATCCACAGACAGAGCAACACATAACACAACTCAATAAATGCAGGACTGAATTAAAAAAGTCTCGTTGTATTAGCGATAGAAATCCTCTAGATGGCGACAAACAGCTGCAGATCTCCAGGTGATTCTGCGTTTTTTCCTCTATGTTGAACTTTGTCCTCTCTGTCAGGCCCCTAAACTGATCCTGATAACCAGCTGACAACCAGAGAACACCCAGCAGCTTTTAATGAATGGGTAACGAGTTTAAACAAAGACTAAAGTTGAATTCATGTTTTCCTAAAGTCTTTCATCTGAGTTTTACATTCACTGGATTACTGCTTCCTCACTGTTAGTCTTTATACTGTGTCAAATTTGACCTAACAGAGGCAAATACTTAAAGGTAGGGTAGGTAAGAATGGAGAAACCAGCTCGAGTGCGCTAGAATTTTAAAGTACACAACCGAAAAAAATCGGCCCCTTCCTTCAGACTTCCTTACAGAGCCCCTCCTCCAACACACACGAACGCGCACATGACCAATGAGGGCACGAGATAAGTTTGTGCACAGATGGAAGGCTGACAGGCAGGTAGGCCATCCAGTTATTTTAGCCGGGCCGGCTCAGATGATTGGTCGTGCTTTTTACAGTATTACGGCTTCCACAGATGACATTTTTTTATATATTTATTGTCAAAGCATTTCATATATTCATTGCTATCGGGATGTTAAGACCATTCCATGGAATATAACAAAAGGGTTTCTGAAGTGAATTACCTAACCCACCTTTAAGTGTATCTGAGTTACAATAAATGATGTATGGACTCCAAAAGATGACTTTTTGGTTAATAATATTCTCATTCTAAATGTTAAATATATAAAATGTGTGTGTTTCTTTACTTTAACAAAGCCCTTAAATGATTGAAAATAGGAATGCAACCATATGTTTTAGAATGACTTACATAAAAAGCCCTATGTTTATGGACCATCCGGGTCTTTCTTAACGACCCCTGAACGCCTACTCAGGTCACATTAAAACAGCTTTTTAGCAACCTGACCTTTATCTGTTATTTTGCTCTCTGATACTTGGGCACAAAGGTGTCATTATGTGTTAATTATTGGTGGGGACATAGAGGTCAGAAGATTTTTAAACAGTTTTAACATATACAATTGTAGGCAATGCAATTGGGGATCAGCATGATTTCAGAGTAGACATTTAAAATGTCATCAAATCATACTGATCTCTTGTTGTTTACCTGCTCTTTGAAACTATATCAAGAAATATTCAAAATTATTGCATAATGACTGCATAATACACCTTGTACAGTTTCTTTTTTTGATTGATTAGTTAACATGTTTAGGTGCAAGCTATTTGAAAACACTTTAAACAAAGTAATGAAGCAAAAGGACAAAACCAGCCATTCGAAAGAGTGTTGGGGAGTGGGGACATGTCCCGGGTCTGACCTCTGAACGGGATCTGTGCATACTTCTGCAGGTTCCCCTCCAGCCTCGGGTAGTCCACCTCCTCCTCTGCGGTGAAAGGGGTCGCAATGGGCGGATAGATCCCGCTCAGGTCCAGCCTGGTCCCCGCTGCCTGGCTCTGGGTTCTGGTTCCGGTTCTGGTCCCGGTCCACGCGGACAGCTGAGCTCTGCACAGCGGCCTCAGCCCTCTCAGCACCCGGACACACTGCATGTTGAGGCAGACACTGACCTGAGAGCAGCTGGGACGGTGAGCAGCTGCTGAAGAGAGCTAATCTCTAACCTGCCTCTGTAAATATTGACCAGAATTTGGGATTCTGAGCAACTTTGGAACTGACTCAACTGGACTTTAACCGTGCAGGAGCAGATTTAATCGGACACGTGTATTGCGTAAAAGCTGCAGAGTTAGAAGGTAAAAGGCACTATTTACTGTTGATTTCACACGGTTAGCTGCAGGGCTGCTGTCACCTTTTTTTTTAAATGTTGTCATGAGGTTAGAAACAGCACAATGCTAGTAATGTAAAGTATATCCTGCAACAGGTCGAAGCCCCGCCCACAGTAAGGGGTCATCAAACAAAAGTTTGTCCCAGGACACCAAACCAGTGGTGGGAGAAGTACTCAGATATTTAAGAACAGGTACAAATACTGCAGTGTGAAAATACTCTGGTACAAGTAACATAACTGCATTACTACTGCATTGTATTACAAAATGTACTTAAAGGTAAACTGGCATGTTATTATCTGCTGTTTCTTTTACGTGAGTCTCCTCCTCAGCCTCTCATAGCCTTTACACAAGTGCCACCATGTGGACATTCATTTAACTGCAGTCACATTTATTGAATAAATCACTGATCCATCCACACTTCCTAAAGTTTTTAAGACTTTGCTTTACTCTGTATGAGATGCACTGAGCACATTTTACTATTAACATTTATGTGACCATTTTTATTTTTCAATAGCTTTCTTGTAAATATATGCATTTTTGTACCCTGGACAAGTAGGACACACCTTTTGTATAGTGGATTTTAGTGCACCTTCTAATTAACATTGTATGTATTTTATTGATACCTCTGCTGTTTTTTTTCTTTTTGTTAAAGTCTCATATTAATGAAGCATTGTATAACAACACTGGGCAAACAGGAAACAGCCGTTTTTATAGGATTGTTGTGCTTTTTTATTTCGAAATTAATGTTGTCATACCGTTTCTTATTGAAAAGCAGGTGTGTTGTATTCATCCGGTGTAGAAATACAATGCTGCGTCACTGGGTCACATGACATGGAAGCTAAGAAAAAATAATAATCTGAATATTGAATAAAACACAAAGTTTAAAATAAAAGGTGAACAGTGTTCATTGTTGTTTTACATGCTTGCATTGATTTAGAGTCATTGGGTCACATGACATTTGAGCTATTGAAAATAAATGAGACTTCATCGAGAAACTGTCATTACAATATTAATTAAAAAGTGATGATGGACTCAAATCCAATCGATACAGGTGTGTCCTAATTATGCAATAGTCACATATTCTCTGAGTTCTCTGAGGTTCATAACCAACTGTAAACCCCTCACTCACCATTGCACGCTGTACTCTTTAGTCAACTACATCACTATCAATGCGCAGATCACTGCACTGGTACAAACTCATCTATACCGCTATGCTTGGACTGCTGCCCCTCTACATATCCACTTACATATCACACAAACAGTACAGCTATAGCATACGATCTCAAAATGACATCACTCTGTCCGTCCCCTCAGTTCGCGCGGTGCTTGGGAAAAAAGCCATATCATACTCTGCCCCCTCGACCTGGAACACACTTCAGCAGGAACTTAAGCGGACCACTTTGATACCCATCACGGATTTTAAACTCATTTTAAAAAAGCTGGAGAAATCATCTGTGGGTGTTTGCACCTGCTATATCTGAATACTTTTTACGATGTTGTATTTTATTGTTGCCTCTGTGTTTAGTGTCCTGTCTGTCTGTAACTGTGTGTGGTGGTGTTACCACTGAACAGGTCTCTCTTGAGAATGAGACCTTGTGTCTCAATGAGATTCACCTGTATAAATAAAGGCTATATTCTGCATTGATTAGGCATAAAGTCACATGGTACAGAAGCTTGAAACAGGAAGAAGGTATTTCCTGCTGTTTGTGGGTTTATGGTGGTAAGAGTTAAACCACTGAAGAAGCTCCTGTAGCCGACCAAGTTATTACCCATAATGCTCTCAGACACCCCTCTCAGGACACAGCCATCCTACCTGAGGAGTCAGATGATTTGATTGTTTTCTTAAAAGCCTGAAACCAGGTGTGGTGTTACAGCAGCAGATTCATTCACATTGTTTAGGAATGAGATGTGCATCAAATACATGAGTCAAAAATCATTATTTGTTGTCAGGGATGTAGGACTCATTCCTGAACCACTTCAGAATAGAAGTGCTGCGCTCACTTAGTTGACTTCGATTTGTATTGTAAGTTTGTCATGTATTAAGCATTAAAAGGAGGAATTACTTATTTGCAAATAAATGCTGAGCTCATCATTAATAAACACAATACTTTAAGTGAAGAAACTTGGTTTAAGTCACACAAATAAATGTTTAGGGTTTAAAGACAGCGCCTTTGAGTTACTAGTGTTTTGTTGTTATTGTTATGAGTCTTTATTCAGAGAGAAAGTCAAACACATTGGTAAAACTCTATTTAGAAAACATGCTTTGGACCACACACACTTCTTGATCAATGACCATAGACAGTATCTGTAAATCGTAAAGAGAAGCCGATGTGAATGACAGGATAAAAACACAGTATAGATTGGATTTGAAACACTTTTTTGGTACACTGTTTACAAGGCATTGGACGTGAGTTAAATTATAGTAAAAAGTCATAATAAATACACACAGTATAGAAATATATATTTATATATTGTGGGTGTGCATAGAATACACAATATACAATTCTGAATCCTCAGGTTTCCCACATGTGCAGCTATAGGCTTGAAGGTTATTAATCAAAGGGTTTTACAATAATCCAGAAAGCAAGCCGTTGAAACTATTCATCAGAAAATGATTGATTAAACTCATTAAACAAATATTCATTTTCCTGCATTTACTTGTTCACTTACAACATTCTCTGCCACATTTAGATTATATATATATTATATATTGGATTGTTTTGTACAGTGTATCGTTTACTTCATAAGTGTGTTTTATTGTTTTATGTCTTATATATTTATGTTGCATTGTTGAAGGAGGCTTGGACTTCAGATTCTCACTGCCATATCTACACTGTAGCTAATGTGCATCTGACAATAAAGCCTTTGCATCTTGAATAAACTCTGGATTACAGTCATGTCTGATGGCAGTGAGCTCCATGCTATTTTTGGAAAGTTACGTCAGGCATGGTGGAGGCAGAACATCCTTCAGAGAGCTGCTCTTCCTCCTCCTCCTCCTCCTCCTCCTCCCACATGGACCGGAACCACGCAGCACCACGTGACCCGGTCGCTCTGGAATGAATCCTCCTCCCGTCACACCGCATCATGACTGCGGAGGATGCGGTGCTCCCCGGCGGGGCTCAGCTCTCTCCTCCCCGGTCTTTGCTCTCTCCTCTCCGGCTCCTGCTTCTCCTCCTGGCCGCCTCATGCTCTCCGGTGCACGGTCTCCTCGGCTTCCGTCCGGAGGAGACCGGAGCGGAGCTGTCCGTGGCCGACGGGGTGCTGAAAGTCACCGAGGGGACCCGCTTCATGTTGCGGGTTTATTACTCCACATCCCCGCAGAGGATGAACCGCACCGCGACCACCCGGGCAAACAACGCCGCGCCTTGGATCGCTTTCATCGAGGAGCCGAGCCCCGGCAGAGAGGGGCAGGTCCACCCGAAGAGGAACATGTGCATGGATAAGAACTCCAGGACGTCCGACATTGAGGTTTTGGGGTCCTTCAAGTCAGCGTCCAGTCAGAACTCGGTGTTAGTGGAGCTGCTGGCGAAGGATCTGCGCAGAGGAGAGAAGATCAAGTTCTACTCCATGTGCGCGTTTGACGGATCCAAATGGGAACATTACCGGACCAGGGACTTCTGGGTGTCCGTGGTGGAGAGATCTGCTGTCCCGGAGCTGTGGCTGCAGGTGTGTGCGTGTGTGTGTGTGTGTGTGTGTGTGTGTGTGTGTGTGTGTGTGTGTGTGTGTGTGTGTGTGTGTGTGTGTGTGTGTGTGTGTGTGTGTGTGTGTGTGTGTGTGAGGTCAATTGAGGTGCAGTCTCAGTTGTACATATAGTATTACTTTGCAACTATGCAATAAGTCGATAAAAGGATTTCATGTACACATTACTTTAAGGGGTCACAAGCCTAAAAAGGTTGGTGAAAACTGTGTGAATATTAAAAGAGAAGTATTCAAATATAAATACATTAAAACATTTTTTTAAAGTTTGTGAAAACTCATTTTCGCTGCTATTAATCTTCTGTATTGCAGTGATGGTTAATCCATTCCATAATTGATCTTATTATCTCAGGTTTTCACATCATGTGCACAGTGACTGAAGGTCATTAATCAGAGGGTTTTACAATAATCCAGAAAGTCAACAGTTCAATCAAAATTCTTACACTAAACATCATAAAACACACACATTCTCCTCAAATCATAGATTTAACTTGAGTCCCTTCAACTGTTATATTATGTGGTTATTCTGCATGTGTGCTGAAGGGTTTCAACGTCTGACCTGAAGTGGATTTATTGTGTTCATTTGTGATCTGTCACCATGTTGTGAAACTTATTTGAGCTGCACCTGGTGTGTGATAAGTGCTACACAAATGAATAAGCTTATTATTATTACAATGTTATCTTTATTCCTGCATATTAGATTTAACTTGTCCTTAACTTGATCCTTCAACTGTTATATTAAGTGATTACCTGAAGTGGATTTCTTGTTTTAACTTGTGATGTGTGCCTTGTTGTTAAAGCACTTTGAGCTGCACCTGGTGTGTGATAAGTGCTATCAAAATAAAGGTTATTATCATTATATTATCTGTATTCCTGCAGGTTCTGGTGTCGGTCCTGCTGCTGGGTCTCTCGGCCCTCTTCAGCGGTCTGAACCTCAGCCTGCTGTCTCTCGACCCGGTGGAGCTGCAGGTCCTTCAGAACAGCGGCACGGACAAGGAGCAGAACTACGCCCGAAAGATCGAGTCGGTTCGCCGGCACGGGAACTACGTCCTGTGCACGCTGCTGCTCGGCACCGCCATCATCAACGCCTCGCTGGCCGTGTGGATGTGTCAGATCCTGGGCATGACCTGGCTCTCCACGGTCATCTGCGCCTTCGGGATCTTCTTCATCGGGGAGATTCTTCCGCACTCGGTGGCGTCGCGACACGGCCTCGCCATCGCCTCCAAAACCATCTGGGTGACGCGCCTCCTCATGGTGCTCTCCTTCCCCGTCTCATACCCCATCAGCAAACTCCTGGACCTCATCCTCAACCAGGTACGGTCACACGCTGGGAAAACTGAAACTTTAATTGAATGTTTTATGTCAACAGATTTCACACAACTTTATTACGTTGGTTGAAATAACTAATATTAGGTTTACATACAAAATATTAGGTTCAACTTAATATTAATGCTTTCAAGTAACCTGATACAATTATGTGTAATCTGTTGACATACTATATTTAATTAAAGTCAACGTTTCAGTATTTTCCGTGTTTATCTTTCTGAAACTGTCATCTATGTTTGTTCATCTGTAAAGCCCACTGAGACACACGTGTTTTGTGATATGTGGCTATATAAATACACTTTTATTTGATTATTTTGAACTGCCCCCCTGACATCCTCTGCTCGTGTCCGTCCTAAACCAGGAGATCTCCATCTTCTACACCCGGGAGAAGCTCCTGGAGATGCTGCGTGTTTCCGACCCGTACCACGACCTGGTGAAGGAGGAGCTGAACATCATCCAGGGAGCGTTGGAGCTGCGCACCAAAACGGTGGAGGACGTTCTGACGCCGCTCAGCGACTGCTTCATGCTGTCCTCAGACGTGGTGCTGGACTTCAACACCATGTCGGACATGATGCAGAGCGGCTACACCCGGATCCCCGTGTATGAGAACGAGTGCTCCAACATCGTGGACATCCTGTTCGTGAAGGACCTGGCCTTCGTGGACCCGGACGACTGCACCCCTCTGAAGACCATCACCCAGTTCTACAAACACCCGCTGCACTGCGTGTTCAACGACACCAAGCTGGACGCCATGCTGGAGGAGTTCAAGAAAGGTGAGCCGCAGGGTGGGTGTGTGTGTGTGTGTGTGTGTGTGTGTGTGTGTGTGTGTGTCTGTGTGTGTGTTTGTGTGCGCGTGCGCGTGTGCGTGCGCGTGTGCACGTGTGCGCGTGTGTGTGCGTGTGTGTGTGCGTGCGTGTGCGCGCGCGCGCGTGTGTGTGTGTGTGTGTGTGTGTGCGTGCGTGCATGTGCGTGCGCGCGCGTGCGTGCATGTGTGTGTGTGTGTGCGCATGCGTGCGTGCGTGCGTGTGTGTGTGTGTGTGTGTGTGCGTGTGCGTGTGTGCGTGTGCGTGTGTGCGTGTGCGTGTGTGTGCGTGTGTGTGTGTGTGTGTGTGTGTGTGCGTGTGTGTGTGTGCGTGTGCGTGTGTGCGTGTGCGTGTGCGTGTGTGCGTGTGTGTGTGTGTGTGTGTGTGTGTGTGTGTGTGTGTGCGTGTGTGTGTGTGTGTGTGTGTGTGTGTGTGTGTGTGTGTGTGTGTGTGCGTGTGCGAGGTTAAATGAGGTCTAGTCTCTGCAGGCATTGGAAAGTGGTGGGTTGGGGACTTTATTGTTGTCGTTGTTGTTGCTATTGATACAACACCTCAGGCATGATCTTGATTGTAAGATGCATTATGGGATACTTTATACTCTCACACTCATGTTGTCATGTACCATCTCATGGGTATTTAGGTACTATGGGTACTAAATACTAAAACATGTCCAGAGTAGAGCAGCTGCCTTTTCATCTTATCTTTATCCCTAATCGTCCATCTTTATTTCTCATCGATCTGTAATCATCCCCTCCAGGATCTCAACTGTATGTTCTGACACTTTTGCATTTGATATGAAAACTGAGAAAACCAGAAATCTGCACAGTCAAAAGTCTAAAAACAGCCCTTTCTGACATGTATGCATAAAAAGTGACTTTAAGGGTGATTCGATGTCACAGTAGATAATGACTCTGTCAGATTGTCATCCAGTCTTTTGACAGATTGATAATGGAGGTGTTAGAGGTGTCACCTGACAGTGAGGACATGTAGATAACAGACGAAAAAACAGATACAAATAATCGTGATTATTTTTCGGACGATCAACAAATGGATTAGTCGACTGATCGCTGCTTTAGTTTTAGACACTGTTACCCTGTTTACAGAAGACAAGTCATTATACTTTGGCAGACACATAGTAAAGATTATAGGAGGTTGTGACCTCAAAGTTGCTGGTTTGATATCCTGGACTTCCTATAACATACAGACAGGCAGATGCCCTTTAGCTACACTTGTTCACCTCTATCTGCTCTCTGAAGGCGGCGCTGTATTGTGAACGTGTCTCTGTGTAAATACGCAGAAGAGCTTCAAGTCTGCATTGCTCTCCCCTACAGACACACATAAGTCCAGTGTTGCAGAGCTGCTGCTGCTGCAGAGGTTGCACTGTTTGCAGGAATCAGCTGCAGAGTATAGAATGGGTGGGTTGCTCAGCAGCCAATCAGAAGCCTCGCTGCTGGTCCCTGCCTCCTCTTGCTCAGAAACCCTGCAGAGTCAGCACTTCTGTTTTTTTTCTCTTTCTGCTGGGTTTGAGGTGAGGACAGGAAGAGATGGGGGTAAACACAGAAGGACACCTCGAGCTGCCTCTGTTACAGGAGACAGGAAACAGCTCGTATATTCACATTAAAACATGATTTTGTGACAGTCTTGCGTGAAAATGAATGATTAACTGATGATCAAAATACAGTTTCTGTCGATCATCTTCAGTTTGGACACTGAGCGTGTTTTTTTAACCTGTTTACGGAAGAAAACACATTATATCTTTGGCAGACATCTTAATATTATTTAACCACTGCTTGTGAATATCATGCAAGTCATATTTTCCACACATGCCTCGCTTTAGAATTGACCATTTTTGCATTTGTTGACCTTGCCATATCTTTCGATTAACAATCACAAAAGATGCATTACCAAACTGTGCACAGGTTGATCAGACATCCCTCTCACTTCCCCCTCTATGTGTGTGTTAGTGTGTGTTATGGTGCACGTTGTGTGAAGGCAGATGCAATCAGAGTTTTAGGATGATTTCTGTGTTCCTGTGCAGAGGGATTTGGAGGAGATAATCTGCACAGGCGGGAGGATTATAAACAACATATTTGCTTCTCTTTCTCTCTGTTTTATTGCTCCCTCCCTCTCTCTCTCTCCTGTAATAACACTTTAAAGCACTGCGGCAGAACAAACACAGGTTCCCTCGTTCACTCCTGCAGCAGTGGAGCTCTGGGATAAAAACGTAGCTGCGTATCAACGGTTAGAAAATCAAACTGCACTCCATAGTTAGTTTACCTATTGTGTTGTTTTAAGGGCCTAAAGTGGCGAGTTTGTGCAGATTCACCCTTTTTATCTGCAGATATTCTCTGATCGGGAACTGATTCACTGTCATTTTGTGTATTATACACTTATTTAACTGCAGGCCGAAGCAAAACATGTCATTTCCTGGCGTGCCTCGTACTGCTCCATGTAGGAATGTCTCTCTTTGTGAGGCGTTTTGGTTTGTTTTTTGCTGACGTTCATCTGCTGCTGACTCACTGAACTCCCATCATGGAGGCATTCAGGGCCAGATGGGAGGAAATAAATACGTTCAGTGCGTGAACCTCAACCTTTATGATCAAACACCTTCTGTCCAAGTCCATCTCCAACCCTGTCATTTGACAAAAAGTCACTATTGCTCACGGTTGGGAGGGTTACTTTAAAGGTCTCCTATTATACTGTTTTTCATCAACATATGATAGGTCTCAGATATATACAGAGCCTGTCTCTGATTGGCTGAAACACCAAACAGATCATTGCAGCATCCCATAATCCCCTCTGTTTCAGCCCTGTTTCCAAAGTGCTGATTCTCTGTCTGTTACTTTAGATGAAAATAAGGAGCCCCTCCCCACGCCCCTCTGAGAGAGATTTGGTTACAAAGAACCCAATGGTGCTCTAGGAGGAGATTCAGGTGATAAGGTGGGGGGGGGGTTACCCTGGTTGCTGATTGGCTAATGGTTACACAAGCCAACACATCGTTTAATTAAAAAACATTTTATTGTGTATCTAATAAATGATTCGCTGCTCAAACTTGCAGTTGGATTAAACATATTTTTTATTTATTTTCCCATCAAGCACAAATCACAAATGAACAATTTATAACGACATAGTTTCAATAAAACAGAGAAGGTTAAACTATAACCTGACATAAAGATCTGAATCTGGGTGAGATCATTTCAAATGTAAAGAATATATATCTCTTATTTCCTCTAAAGGAAGCAGTTCAGCGTATTTGATGAACATGATGTTACTTGGATAAAAGTGTCTGCTAAATGCACGTGTTTCAATTTAATAAAGGTTGACAGTATGATCAAAAAGCAGATTATCAAAATCAATAACAACAAGAATAAAAACATGTTTAGAATAAAGAGACAGCAGGAGGACAGGTTCAGAGGTCAGTGAATGATCCCTTTAAGAGATGATCATCACAGATATAATGATCCTGTGTATCTCTACCTGCTCTGATCCACTGTCACACACACCTTCAGCGGTAATATCTTCACTTCCTCCACAGTGTTAATGTATGGAAACATCTTCTCAGTGAAAGTGTGTGTGAAGGTGTGTATGTGTGTGTTAGTGTCAGGGTCAGAGAACGACAACTTTCCTCTGTTCCAGTCCAGATCCACTCTGACCCTCTGGAGCTTCTTCTTCAGGCTGAGAGGAGTGGATGGAGCTGATGGTGACAATGCTGAGTATTTACCTTTATAGAAACGTATTCCCCAGAATCCAGGCTCTGTGTCTCCCTTCCTCTGGAGAGACTCTGCTAACACACCCAGTGTCCAGACTGTACTGTCTGTAACCTGGACATCCCAGCTGTGAGTCCCTGAGTTAAAGCCCTCAGAGCCCAGGACTAAGGGGTAATGATCAAACCTCTCTGGATTATCAGGAAGTTCCTGTTCCTCCTCTTCCTCCTCTTCCTCCTCTTCCTCTTCTTGCTCTTCTTCCTCCTGTCCTCCTGCTCTCACTCTGGTCAGATCTTCAGACAGGATGAGTCTTGGATGAGCAGTGTTTGGGTCCAGGATGAGAGGCGAGTAGGACACCATGTCCTTCATCTTGCTCCAGATGTTGAAGCTGAGGTTGCCCAGGTGTTTGGCCTGGTCTATCAGAGCTCCTGAGGGCAACTGTGGATCCTCCAGCAGGGGGCGCTGCAGCCTCTCCACTGCAGCCTTGTAGTTGTGCAGGAAGGAGACGTCTTCAGCTCTCAGCTCCTCCTCTGTGGCTCTGACTGTGTGTGAAAGAGCTGCTATCTCTCTGCTCACAGCCTCCATCTTCTCCTCCATCATCTTCCTCTTCTGCTCATCTTCCTCCCTCAGTGCAGCCATCCTGGCCTCCTCTTCCTCTTCTAGAAACTGGTGAAGCTTCTTAAACTGCTCCTTGATCTGCGTCTCTGTGTGTTGAGCCTGGACCTTCAGGTGTCCTGCTGTTTGATCAAACTCCACTTTAACTTCTTCAAAGAGCTTCAGTTTCTCCTGAAAGGGCTGCAGAGACTTCTGGAGCTCCTCTCTGAGATCCTGAGCAGCTTCATCGATGGGTCTGAATCTGTGGTTGGTGTGTGTTTTTGAATCTCTGCAGACGAGACACACTGGCTGCTGATGGTCCAGACAGAAGAGTCTGAGTTTCTCAGAGTGCAGACTGCAGAGAGCCTCTTCCTCTAACCTGGACGCCATGTTGTCTCTGAGTGAAGCTGAAACACAGCAGACAGGAAGTACAGTCAGTCATGGCTCCCCTCCCCCTCCTCTACTGACTTCACTGAAATTCTCTTTGAGTGATGTTTGGAGACTCACCTTCAGGTGGGGAGGGTCAGCAGGTTGAAGCAGCAGCGTTGTAGTTTCCACTTTTCTCTCCTGTAGCTGAACTCAGCCGAAGTTGTTAGTTTGGTCTGAAGGTGAATGTGATCGTCTGTTTTTCAGTCCGTCTCTCTCTCTGCAGTGAGGGAGAATAACAAACTGTTTCCTGGGCTGCGTTTCACTTCTCTTATTTTTCATTTCCTCGCTGTCACTACCCGATTGGTCCACCTGCCCGATCTGTACTGCGCATGTGCGAGATGGTCCGCCATATTGGACAACTACATACGGCAACTCTACTAGGACACTTGACACAGTGGCATTTGGCAAAGCACACAAAGAAAACTCCGAAAACCGAGAGAGATGAGTTATTGTTATTACAACGTGACTTCACTATTATTTAACAACTCTTTTTATTGGGTTCTTTTATTTGGGGTTAAGTACATTGTCAGAATAAGTGAGACATGGATTTAACTTCTGTTAGACAGCTATATGCTAGACATGTTTGCATACATTCACAGTAAATATTTATTCAGTATGATAGCTGTCTAACAGAAGTTAAATCCATTTCTCACTTATTCTGACAATGTACTTAAACCCAAATAAAAGAACCCAATAAAAAGAGTTGTTAAATAATAGTGAAGTCACGTTGTAATAACAATAACTAATTTCTCTCGGTTCTTTTTCTGCTTTGCCAAAAGCCACTGTGTCAAGTGTCCTAGTAGAGTTGCCGTATGTAGTTGTCAAATATGGCGGACCATCTCGCACATGCGCACTGCAGATAGGGCAGGGCTGCAGATCGGGTAGTGACAGGCCCAACCACACTCTCAAGTTCCCCTTCAAGTAATATGTCCATGGGAGGAGGAGGAGGAGGAGGAGGAGGAGGAGGAGGAGGAGGAGGAGGAGGAGGAGGAGGAATCATGTTCTGCAGACAGTATCTTTTTTTAGAAAATTAACTCATCTATGTCATTTGGAACTATTTGGTCAAATGTATTGTAAAACATTTTTATTTTTAATTACAAAAAATACTGCAAATAATGCAATACATTATAATCACAACAACATCGACAAATATATTACAATAGGATATCTAATATAAGTTATATATATATATATATATCAATCGACAGTGTAAACATAATTATGTAAATAACCCAATTTGTGTTCTGTGAAACGGAAAAGGATATTACATTGTTTTTGTTACTTTCGTTGCAGTGTCTTAAATGTAATTTAGGTTAACTTCCTGTTTTATTTAGATGCTTTTATTTTGAAGTTGTTGCTATGGAAACAACATGACGGAGAAAAAAAGTAATATCTTCTACATATAATAACGGACAAAGTAAAGAATGAAATGCATGTTTAAATGTTAGCCCCCCGCCGACGAGGCTCAAGCTCTTACGTTGAGTTTCAATACATTCGGAATTTGGCCGTGTAAAATGTCCTCTTGGGTTGCCGTACAGCCAATGCGTGACTTCATTGGTAAGCGTAACGGACCCCGAACACATCTGGTAGGCCGAACACATATGGTACCTACACCGGTGTTGTGCCGCAGGTTGAAGGCTTGCCGTAGATTGAAGCCCTGTTCGCGGGGACGCGCAAAGGTGACGTCATCGCCTGTATTGAGCATTCGCCTCGTTTTCTAAGCTTTTCTCTCTCTTTTGAAGGATATATTTCCCATCAGATTAAACAGCAAACGGCTGAATAAATAATGTGCATACAATTGCGAGGTGGCTCGTTTTAAGGACACAATCTTCGTATTGGAACAAACTTCCGTTTTTAGGTGTAGTTTGGAACCCCCCCTATATCTTTGTCCAGGATAGTCACAACGTCACCAAAATCACACTGGTGTTGGCTGTTCCCCTGTAGTTTGTGCTCACAAAAGTATTTTACTCTTGGCCCAGCAGGTACAAAACTAAAGAGGGGCTTCCATATCCGGCAGAGCAGGTGTTGTAGCTGCCGGATTTGGAAGCCCTTCTTTAGCGGGAAGGTTGCTTACGTAGGACAAAGCAAATAAATACGCACCGACACTTTCCGATTCATAAAAGACTGCGTACCGGAGCAGGACTTGCGTACGGCACATCCTACGCCGGTTTCCCCGCCTAAATCACAATCAACTCGAAATGCGCCGCAGCTTTTGCGGGCTTCACGTAACGCCCATATTTGCCTATAAATAGTCAAAGAAACGCCCATTCATTCATTCATTGTGACTGACTGACTGCATGAAGAAGATCGCAGGAAATGACGACAGAACAGCTAAAAAAGACATCTCACACCGTGTCAGATTTGGGTTATTTTGGGGAGGTCGAGATAAATCATATTGTTTGGTGGATGCAGTTTGAACCAGAGTAGCAGCATGGAGGTCGGATCGTCACCAACATAAATAAATAAGTGGTCTGAAAAAAGTTAATGACAAAGAAAATACACATAACCTTCCTCAGGCAGTGTGTTTGTCCCGGGGACAGGAGACCCCCCCTTGATGAGAAACTGTAAGAAATGATCGGGGAATCCCTCCGGAGTGGAGTCATGACGACTGGATCTGAATTTTTTTTTTGTTTTTGGTGGTTTGTGTTCCAGCTGTCGAGCTATGGGATTAGTTTTGTTTCATAAAGATAAAGCAACACTTTCTCAGAATAAAGCAAAACTATGAGTTTAAAAGAAAAAAAACTGAGTCAAGCAAAATAAAATACATTTCAAAAATAAAACTCAAATCATTTGTGTAATCATGTAAACCATAAGTCTTTTTTCTTTGTTTTCACATAGGTTTTTGTTTGCAGTTCTTGTTGCTTCTTTCTCAATGATCAGACTTTTGCTCTCGCTGCAGCCCTTCTCGTTTACGCTCCCTCATTTTTCAATGTCCCAAGGTGGGCGGGACTTTCAGGGGTGCGTTCCCATTGGCTACTCAGTTTTTGAGTGACAGCCCATTACACCACAGATCATACAGTGCAACTCATGCAGCAAACTCCGCAGTCCACTCGGCCACGTTAGTGTTGGCGTCTCCTCGGGAGTTTTCATGAACATATCGGACTTATCTTATGGATTGCTGTGCATTAGACTTGTGTTGTGTAGTTTATACTTTATTCCAACTTTAAATATTTGAATACCTGAACACACTGCTGCTGTTAAATAGTTTCCCAATTTGGGATTGATAAAGTGTCTGTCTATTTATTTATTTTATAGATTAAAAAAACACATCTAAAATAACTGGATGGCCTACCTGCCTGTCAGCCTTCCATCTGTGCACAAATTTATCTCGTGCCCTCATTGGTCATGTGCGCGTTCGTGTGTGTTGGAGGAGGGGCTCTGTAAGGTAGTGGCAGATTAACAGACCAGACCTAGGCTGCATACCAACACAATTAGGAACATGCTCACATCTTACTATGTTGGTCTGAAGAGCTGAAGCATTCATACACAATGGATACAAACTGTGTTGTCTCATTCTATATCCTGTGAGAAAATGATATACATTTAGCATTAAAAATGTGACATACTGATTCTGAGGAAGATCTGAATAATCAACAGATTTGAATGGAATCTCTAACATTTTCATGTAGAATAAAGACAAAAGAGTGATTATACAAATTAAATGTATTGAAATTTGAACCAGAAGAAGAAGTCTCAAAGAATGTTTTAAATAAAAGCACATAAAACAAAAAGGTGGATAATAATACAATCTATTAAATGTATATGTAAATACATTTGTTCAGCTTAGACAGGGCTGGGAGGGTTACTTTAAAATGAGAGAGATTTGGTTACAAAGAACACAATGTTGCTCTAGGAGGAGATTCAGGTGATAAGATGGGGGGGGGGGGTTACCCTGGTTGCTGATTGGCTAATGGTTACACAAGCCAACACATCATTTCATTAAAATGCATTTTATTTTGTATCTAATAAATGATTCGCTGCTCAAACTTGCAGTTGGATTAAACATATTTTTTATTTTCCCATCAAGCACAAATCACAAATGAACAAGTTGTAACGACATAGTTTCAATAAAACAGAGAAGGTTAAACTATAACCTGACATAAAGATCTGAATCTGGGTGAGATCATTTCAAATGTAAAGAATATATATCTCTTATTTCCTCTAAAGGAAGCAGTTCAGCGTATTTGATGAACATGATGTTACTTGGATAAAAGTGTCTGCTAAATGCACGTGTTTCAATTTAATAAAGGTTGACAGTATGATCAAAAAGCAGATTATCAAACTCAATAACAACAAGAATAAAAACATGTTTAGAATAAAGAGACAGCAGGAGGACAGGTTCAGAGGTCAGTGAATGATCCCTTTAAGAGATGATCATCATAGATATAATGATCCTATGTATCTCTACCTGCTCTGATCCACTGTCACACACACCTTCAGCGGTAATATCTTCACTTCCTCCACAGTGTTAATGTATGGAAACATCTTCTCAGTGAAAGTGTGTGTGAAGGTGTGTATGTGTGTGTTAGTGTCAGGGTCAGAGAACGACAACTTTCCTCTGTTCCAGTCCAGATCCACTCTGAGCCTCTGGAGCTTCTTCTTCAGGCGGAGAGGAGTGTCTGGAGCTGATGGTGGCCGTGCTGTGTATTTACCTTTATAGAAACATATTCTCCATAATCCAGACTGTGTGTCTCCCTTCCTCTGGGCAGACTCTGCTGACACACCCAGTGCCCAGAGTGTACTGTCTGTAACCTGGACATCCCAGCTGTGAGTCCCTGAGTTAAAGCCCTCAGAGCCCAGAACAAAGCCGTATCTATCAAACCTCTCTGGATTATCAGGAAGTTTCTGTCTCCCTCCTTGTCTCACTCTGGTCAGATCTTCAGACAGGATGAGGAATGGATTAGCAGTGTTTGGGTCCAGGATGAGAGGAGAGTAGGACACCATGTCCTTCATCTTGCTCCAGATGTTGAAGCTGAGGTTGCCCAGGTGTTTGGCCTGGTCTATCAGAGCTCCTGAGGGCAGCTGTGGATCCTCCAGCAGGGGGCGCTGCAGCCTCTCCACTGCAGCCTTGTAGTTGTGCAGGAAGGAGACGTCTTCATCTCTCAGCTCCTCCTCTGTGGCTCTGACTGTGTTGGAAAGAGCTGCTATCTCTCTGCTCACAGCCTCCATCTTCTCCTCCATCATCTTCCTCTTCTGCTCCTCTTCCTCCCTCAGTGCAGCCATCCTGGCCTCCTCTTGCTCTTCTAGAAACTGGTGAAGCTTCTTAAACTGCTCCTTGATCTGCGTCTCTGTGTGTTGAGCCTGGACCT